TCGCCAGCGCTCAAGCGGGTATGTGGGCTCTCTCCCTACTCGGCTCGACCTGGTCACGGACCGCAAGGTTGAGGATTTGCGATGCGAACGGTCTCTGGCCCGCCATCATGGGCCAACTCACGGACTGAATCGCGTGTAAAGTATGGGCGAATGATTGACGGGGTGGCGCATGGCTGTCGCTCCCAAGGCTCCCTATTCACGCGAAGCCTGTCCGGTTGGTCGTGGCAGGGGACCAGGTGCCTCCGACGCCCCCCGTGCAGGGATGGCGCGACGTGCGTGCAGCGTGCAGCCATGCATCGGTGCTGGTTAGTCTTGGCTGCAAACGGGATGCTGCAGTCGTCGGGCCTGGTAGTGGAGGCCAGGTGCGACAAAAGCCAGACGGCGTGCTGCGCGATGCTTGGAGGTGACCAACGAAGGCCAACGCTGCAGCTGTTTGAATTACGAAAGCTAACGGGCCGGCGCATCGCATTCTCCCCTTGTGCACAGTGCATCGCAGACAGGCCCGTGTAGGACGGCTCGAATCGCGTCGGGCACAATACCCCGGCTAACGCAGCTTGCCGGTACCTGGTGGCTCTAACCTAAAGGTCCACCCAGCCCGCGGGCTCTTCAACGATGCTCCGTGTGCTCTCTGGATGCTGAAACGTGCTTGAGGCGATCCCAAAGTGAGGCCTGCTCCAGCCCCGGCCCTTCCATGTCGAACGGTTTTGAACTTTCTTTGTCTGGACGCCGTCGTCCTCATCCACCCCACAGTGCACCCAAGGAGGCTTTGGATACGAATCTCTACCCATTCCGGCTGCTGGGCGACAGATACGACACACAGGACAGGAGAGGCAAGAAGAGTGTCGAGTTCAGTCCGGACGTGGGCTCCAGCAATAGTACAGCTCTCCCCGCGTCGATTGAGACGTGTCGAGGAGCTCAGGGCGCTCATGTCTTTCCTAGGCCTCCGTCCGCACTCGCGCAGTAGTCACACGACGAAATCCTTGACGTCGCATACACAACGATCCGACGCGACTCTGGTCAGCTCGCAACCGCCGCCTCGCTCGGGCAGAGGCATGGCAGGGGTCATGGACATGGAGCGGACGCGGACACGACGAGAACGAACCTTTATCGGGAGCGAGTGCTGCGTGTGCGAGGAGAACCTGGAGTACACGCTGCGGGGCGAGCGGATACTGCAGCTCTCGTGCGGCCATGTGTCGCACGAGGCGTGCTTCTACGAGTACATCCGCGAGTTCGAGTCGCAGCACTGCCCTACGTGCGATGCAGCGCTAGGGCTCGACAGCAGCAGAGGGGGAAACGTGCTCGACCTTGGTAGGCAGCCCTCGCAGACTGCGGCAGGCAGGCATGCTGATGTGCGCGCAGAGAAACTGTCGACGATAGTGCGTTCGGTGCAGCACGAGGCGTCGCCGTCGCACGCCGAGAGCCAGCGCAGCGCGGCCAACACGCCCACGCCGTGGGACAGCCAGGCGGAGCGGCCGCACGACGAGCAGCAGCAGCAGCAGCAGCACGGGCGGTCGCGCAACGGAAGCAACGCGTCGGCGCGATACCCGCCCACGACGCACACACGGCAGAGGGACAGCAGCCACAGTCGCGACCGCGGCTCCGACCGGGGCGCGTCGCTGTCGCTGTCACAGTCGCAGTCGCAGTCGCAGTCGCGGGCCCACGGACGCAGCGATTCGGGCGCGACGGGCCTCGCGTCGTCGAGCGAGTATGCCGCGACGCACGACGGGCGGCGGCACGACTACGACGTGCAGTCCATGGAGACGAGCCTCAGCAGCCCGCGCGGCGGCGTCCGGAGCCCCATTCCCGCGCCCACCGTCACCGTCCGCAGCGAGTTCCCCACGCTGAGCCGGTCGCGGCAGCAGCAGAGCCTGACGTGCCTCGTCACCGTCGAGGTGGTCGAGGGCAAGTGGCGGCCCAGCCTCGACGACCTGCCGCGAGCGCCGCCGCCGCAGCCACCGCTCGCCAGCGTGGCCGAGAGCGACTACGAGCGCTCCAAGTCGCCCGTCGCCAGCAGGCCGCCCGCGTCCCAGTACGAGCCGGCCGCGCTGCTCGACGACATGACCGAAGACCTGCATGCCCGCGTCGACAACTGGCACGGCCTCGACTTCTCGCGCTTCGGCAAGCTGCGCCTCCACGGCCACATCCGCGTCGGCAAGGACCGCCAGTCGTGGCAGGAGCTCGAGTGCTACCTCTTCTCCGAGATGCTCATCTGCGTCAAGGAGAAGAAGACGCCGCCGCCGCCCCAGTGGGACGCCGCCGCCCCGTTCACCAAGACAAAGTGCACCCTCAAGGGCTCCATCCTCATCAAGAAGCACCTCAACCACGTCGAGCACGCGCCCGACAGCCTCATCCTGACCCTCAGCCTCTCCGTCGCCGAGCTGCCCGCCTTCCACCTGCAGTTCCACGACCGCAGCCAGCTCGACCTCTGGCGCCGTGCCCTCATGGACATCCGCCTCGACTTCCCCACCGCCGCCCGCCTGCCCGACTACGACCACGACAACTCGGGCCCCGACGACGACGACTACCGCCGCCCCAAGCGCCTCTCCTCCATCAACTCGTCCTATGGCGCCGCCAGGTCCACCATGACCGCCCCGACCGAGTACAGCGCCTCGCGCGCCGGCATGCCCGAGCCGCGCCCCCCGCCCTCGATTCACGTACCCGTCGACATTGTCGTCGTCATCCCCGTATCCTCTTCCATGCAGGGCTTGAAGATCAACCTGCTCCGCGACACTCTGCGCTTCCTGGTCCACAACCTGGGCGAGCGCGACCGCATGGGCCTCGTTACTTTCGGCTCCAGTGGCGGTGGTGTCCCCATCGTCGGCATGACGAGCAAGGCTTGGAGAGACTGGCCCAAGGTGCTCGATTCCATCCGCCCCGTCGGCCAGAAGAGCCTGCGCGCAGATGTCGTCGACGGTGCCAATGTGGCCATGGATCTGCTCATGCAGCGCAAGTCCAGCAACCCTCTCTCCAGCATCCTGCTCATCAGCGATTCCTCCACCTCCGATGCCGAAAGCGTCGACTTTGTCATCTCCCGCGCCGAGGCTGCCAAGTACGTAGCCCCTTCCTCTCACGTATCCACGCAATCACTGCTAACACGTATCCAAGGGTCTCCATCCATTCTTTCGGTCTAGGACTGACACACAAGCCCGATACCATGATTGAACTTTCTACCCGCACCAAGGCTTCGTACACGTACGTCAAAGACTGGATGATGCTGCGTGAGTGTGCAGCTGGCTGTCTCGGCTCCCTCCAGACTACCTCGCATCAAAACGTCAAACTCAAGTTACGACTACCCGAAGGCTCCCCTGCCAAGTTTGTCAAGATCAGCGGTGCGCTACAAATTACAAAACGAGCTACCGGACGAGACGCCGAAGCTGCCTTGGGTGACCTGCGTTTTGGCGATAAACGAGACATTTTGGTCCAACTAGCCATTGCACCGGACACCGGCTCGCCAGAACAACTTCCTCAGGACCCTTGGGAGTCAATTGTGTCTGGCTTGGAGGCTCTCGGTGGACCGCTCGATCAGGACGACTCACGCACACTCAGCGTGGAAGAAGTGCCGCTGATCCAGGCAGACCTGACGTATGGTGACATCCTACGAGAAGGATCACTGTCACATCTACCACGCCCGTCGTTACTGGCCATCACCCTGCTACCGTCCGGGCCAAAGAAGAGCCCGACCGGAAGACCACCAACACCTCCCATCCCACCTCATCCTCACGTCGTGCAGCGACGCATGGAATTGTTAACCTCAGATATGCTGACACGCGCATTGACGCTTGTCTCGCGTGGGCAACACGACCGTGCACATCACCTTCTCAAGGAAACGCGCAGTATTTTAAAAGGACTCGGAAAAGGAGGTCTGCCACCACTTCCACCTCCAGGCCACCGACGCAACGAACCATCCAGTGCAGCAGGCAGCACTGGATCCGCGTCACCGACGATGCACAGTGCCAGCGGCGACTTGCGTGCGCGAACGCCCTCGCCTCATGCGGATAGCCCCTTTACTCCTGCGGCAGGCATTGATGTCAGAACCATGTATGCGCTTGACGCAGAACTCGAGTCCAGTCTCGAGTGGATCAACCACCCAGCTGTCTTCGGTAGGGATTCGCGCAAGGCCGTGTTGCAGGCAATCGGTGTCATCTCATCCCAACGCGCATACACTTTCCGATCGCCCTCAGAGTCTCTCTGGGCAGAGCGCATCGCTGGTGTCAAGCGCCTATCCGAACGCGCACGCGACTGGCGCGAAACCGGCGACCAAGAAGCCTTGATGGAGGAGAATTAAATGCGCGCAACGACTCTTCGATCTCTTCGCATTTGCTTGCATATACCCTGTATCATAGCGCATCACTCTTTGGCATCATGTTTCCTTGCTTCCATTCACGGCCATACCTTTCTTTTTGGCGCTTTCACTGTTAGAGCTGTCATCCGTCTCCTCCCGCTTGGGACGTCTTGTTTCTCTTTGTACATCTTCTTGGGTTTACGATACCAACACGGTCCATATCTCCTTGTATTGGGTGGACCTCCTGGGCTTGCAAAAGTAGGACTTAGGCGTCGTTCTCATCACATCTATGCTTTAGAGAGTACCACAGCCGCTTGGCGATTGATTGGCTACACATATGCACTTAGACGCACGAATATCACATCCGTACCATACTCCGTACCGCACTGCATCTGCTGCGCTACTTGGGTAAACTGCAACGTTCACGCATGCTCAATAGCTGTACCGGGTACAAGCACCCGCAGCTCGTGCTAATCCTGAAATCCCGTCACCCGCGTCTTTTAACACGCGGGTTGTTGTAAAGGTCAGCCTGTACCTAGTCAAGACAGTCTTGGAACTCCACTGCGGTGAGTTCCGATGGTGGACGCCATGTACGAACAAAATCCGGCGACGCTACTTCTTCGGTGCGTTCGGTGTATTACCCCTCACCTTAATCCAGCACCATTATATGTCTATAAATTTGCAACTATACATCCATACAAGTATTGTTCATTTCGGCATGCAAGGGTTTCTGTCGCGACTTTGTGCACGAAGATATGCAGCGGACAAGACCATTCTTGACCGCATGAACGCGACATTATTGTTGTGCAAGGTGCGCTTGGCAGCTCCTGTTGTATCTGTCTCAGACTGCCAACAACACTTGAAACTCCCAGCCGACAGCTCGCTTGTGCGCCAAATGCAATTGGTTTTGTGTCGCTGGGGGGCGAGAACAGTGCAACAGTGCAGCTACACAAGTCGAAGACCATATCGAGGCCTACATATTGGGGCATGGGTGCAGTCAGTTCATCGTTACCAATCGGCGAATACTGCCTGCTGCAGTAACACATCCTCGCGCTGTACAGACATGCAAGCCAATTTTCGAGCCAACGATAGTGCGCAGGCTTCCAAAGCAGTGGGCTGTACCTGACGTGTACCGGCTTCCGTTATCCTACGCGCCTATCGCACATGCCATCCGTTGCAAAGGCCCGTTGACGTCAAGCCCTGGAACAAGCCAAGTCTCAACTATGAACCCCACTGTCTAGACGTGCCACTCCTCCTCCTCTTCTTCTTCTTCAACAATGACCCGTCACATGCTCCCCACACGGCACATGCTGAGGTAAACGGCGAGGCAGTACTGCCGAAATGACCAGGATACGAAACGTGTCCATCCCGTCTCCCCTACTGGCAAATGTCAACTGTGTACAAGACGACTTTGTTAGACCTGCGAACATCACCGACTTCCTCTGTGGCTGTATTACACCATTCAATATATCAAGTCTTATTCTGGTGCAGAATCTACAAACGCCTACTCATGCTGCGATTCAAGGGCCACGACAAGACGCAGGAACCGGTCTTAATTGAGAGGGGCGCGGCGTGGATGAATGCCGCAGAGACATACCGGCTACATCCTGCATGTCGCTGCAGATACAGATGCGGCTGCAGATGCATCTGTCCCGCTGCAAGACCTTGCTGGCTACATCGAGTATCCCCAGTGTACATCAGGTCAAGATGCCCGAAAAGCAAACATCAGTACCTAGTCCATGGATATCGATCGCGTTCCGACAAGCCAATGAACCCTCATCCCAGTTGACAAGGTATGTTAATGTCAAACGGTAATCACTTCCAGGTAGTCTCTCAACCCATGTTTGATCGCTCGTCGCGTTGCACAAGGGTAGCACAGTCTCGATGTCGCTGCGATTGTAGCCATTGGCGGCTCGTCAGACTTTCCCCCACTTGCTGGGAAATGCCCAACTTTTGCAAGCCCTTCGCATCTTGACGCACGTGCGAGACCCTAAGGTGGTGTTGGGTGGGCCGATGGCATTTCCTTTGCGAGGCGAGCGGGCGGGACTTCCTTCGCTTCGATCACTCTCAGCCACGTTTTATTGACAAGGGTATGTAGATTCCTGTCACAAACACGCTTACCAAACGGCTATTCCGGTGTAGTTCCACACTGGAGATCATGCTGACATGGGTCTTTAGGCGAGTCTCAAATTCAAAGCTGCGTCGACAGTTGGGCTCTGTATGTTCCGGAGCCCGCCATGCAGGGAGAAGAACGTGCTCTTGATGTGAAAGTAATGTCGCAGGATTGCCGATGCTGTTTCTTGTTAGACTGTGACTGTCGGTAGCTGACCACGCAGACCCCGACTTGCCGCTATCGCGAAGAGGCGATGTTTCCGACAATATTGCTTTTCTTTGCACTTTCCTTCTTCGTGACCACATCTGAAGCGCATCACCGCTGCCGATCAGGCCTATCGCGCTATTGTGGGACCTACGCAGCGGCCCTCAATCTAGATCCATAGTTCTGCCGCATATCCAGCGCTGTAGCCATCCCGTCAAAAGCAATAGTTTCGGCCCGCGGATCAAATTTACAACTGTGGCATGACCGCCGTTTTGCCGGGGACTAAGTCAAGTGCCCGGTGTGGAGAGAGGAAAGCCTCCGAGCGTGGTCCGCGCAAAAGCAAACAACAGCTGGAGAATTGGGATAAGCGGGGTAATCGCAAGACCGCACATCAGATTACATCATAGCCAACGAGAAAAAGCATCGCGTCGTGTGAGTGTGCGTGTGTGACAGAACTCAACATATCCACCTTTTGTCACACCAATATGCACATGTATACGCAAACGGCGAAGATTACTTGCAAAACAAATGTCGTCGACTGTGTGCGCATCATACTTTGTATGCAGCTAGAACATGTGGAAAGATGCAAGGTCTCATCTTCGCCTTGTTGGTAAGCCAGACACCCAATCGCGCACATGCTATTACTTATCCCTACAGTATGTATCTTGCTTAGAGCGGCTATACGAGACAATCAGATCTTTGCGATGAAGCCTACAGTGACCCTTAATCTTTTGTGCTTGTAACATGCACATGTTCTGATGCTAAGCATAAACTAGGTTGGTGCTTTTGTGTATTTACCTAATGCCCTCTATATTCAGGCATCAACATCACAAATCAACTACATAGCGTTTCTCTCCGTCGAGACGCAACACACCCGTTGGCTTTGCAGTGATTGGGCTTGGGCGGATAGAATAAGAAATGCGCTAAAATAGCTAATGCCTCCATGTTATGATATCTGTTTACTACCCAGGTACCAAGTCGAGATACTTCCAAGGTTTGATTCAACAAGGTCTAGTCCAACATCCAAAATGCATAACCCAAATACCTCATCCCAGATATTCTACTTACTATACTCCTTCACAAAACGAATAACAAACTCGTTAACCTCTTTAGGATTGGATGCGCTCAAGAAGTGCTGCCCGCCTTCAATAACCTCCAACTTGGCATTAGGCGAATTCGTGAAAAGTCCCATCTCCTCTCTGGCGTTCGCGACGGAATAAACGACATCGCTGGTTCCCTGTGACAACAGTCAGTTGCGAACCCCCCAACATCCACCACAGAGAACACCTCCGCAATGAGAACAGCGTTGCCATGAAAAGAAAACGTCCAATCACTTACATGCAGCCGCAAAACTGGACACAACACATCACTCAAGCGCATGTGCAATCCGTCCCGATCTCTTAGATTGATTGCACACATCCTGATCCTTCGACGTCCTTCGTCGCCCTGATAGTTGTTCTTAATCTCATCAATCCAGAAGGCACGGACATTTTCTGGACATTCCTCCTTCCCAAAGCCCACGTCGATGAGGAAGTTGCAGAAATCTGTGCTGGGTACAAAGTCCGGCGTAGGCTCATTGGATTTGGTGCCGAATTCGCCGGTGATGCGGTCAGCGAGGGGGTCAACGGCGTGCCAGCAGCCTAGATCGCGAGAACGGGGGGACTCGTAGTCTAAGGATGTTCCAAGAGGTATTATGCCAAGGATCTTGGTAGTTTCTTTGTCAATACCTGGTAGAGTGCATCACAAAACATTGGACATGGTGTGGGTCACATACCTTTTCCGGCGCCAAAAGTGCCATTCGTACCGTCACCCATCCTCCCTGGCTCGTCCCTAATACAAAAGCTTTCTTCACACCCAGCTTCTCCATAACCTGCAGATTCATCATCGCAGTATCCCAGTACGTCCAGTTCTCAGTCTTTGCGCGCGTTTGTCCATGACCCAATAGCTCGATCGCTACCAAGTTCATCACCGATGTAAGTGTTTCGTTCGTGTATGCATCACGATAGAGCTCCGAGGACGTAGTGAAGGAGTTTATCAAGATGAGGGTGGGTTTGGAGGGGTCCACGGGACCGGAGGTTTGGTAGGCAGCTGTTATGCCGCCGAGGTGGGGGACGTCAATGGTTTTGGTGTTTGGCATGATGTCAGCAGGAAGGTGTACTGTCTTTCGAGTATGGGCGGTTGGTGATGGAGGTTGCGAATCGCGAGGCTGATGTTGTCGTGTCAATTTGCAGCGACGTCACATGTCGATCTTGTGGGGAACATTTGGGCCGGGGGCAGGTTATTTCCTTATTGGGAATAACATGGTGATGCGCTTACAAATAGTCACACAATGCGGGGTGTCTTGGGATGTTATCACTTGGTCAGCGGAGCGGCAATTTTTTTGAAATGTAAGATGAGAAACGCACACAAAGTGTTGCAAGAGCATATCATCAATGGTGAATCTTTGCGTGAAAGTGTCTATATTCGCTCTCATACGTACAAAGCTATGTTGCTGTGCATATTGCCTCTCTAGTTCTCCAGAACATACCTATACCTCGCTTTTCCTGCCTCCATGTCCACAACCGCGGTATTAGCCTCCTTCATTGGCCTCTTCTGAATCCATGGCTTGATCTTCTTCTCAGCCGCCAACTCCAACATCTCCTTGATCTCCCATGGGGCACCGATGCCAGAGCCTCCAACCTTGAGTCCACCAGAAAGAAGCGTGAAGGCGTTGATGGGAGGTAGCTCTCCGCCGTCCGGTGCTCCGACTTGGATGAAAGTACCATGAGTCTTGAGCAAGCCAAGATAGCCATCTAGAGGCATCTTGGCGCTGGAAACGGTGCATACAATGAGATCGAGCGTTTGTGCGTTGTGCTTGGCCCAATCCTTATCTTCGTCAGTGGAGACGTAGAGGTCAGCGCCTAGCTTGAGAACATCGTCGCGCTTCTCAGCCTTACGGCTTATACCGACGACCTTGTCTGCACCCAGGGCTTTGGCAAAGAGAACACCGAAATGACCCAAGCCTCCTACTCCAACAATTCCGACAGTTTTGCCAGGACCGCAGCCATAACGCTTCAACGGGGAGTACACGGTGATTCCACCGCAGAGCATCGGCGCAGCATCCGCACTATCTAAGCCGTCAGGGATATTTAGGACGAAGTGCCCATTTGTGCGGTTGTGTGTAGCGTATCCACCATAGCTCTTGCCCTCGTCGCGTGGGTAGATGGAGCCATAAGTGTTTACTGTCTCGCGGTGGCAATGGTTCTCAATGCCGTTCGAGCAATCGGGACAGTCCGGTTGAAGGCATGAGCGTGCTTGCGCGCCGACACCGACACGGTCGCCCTGCTTGACGTGCTTGACGTTCTTGCCAACCTTGACGGCTTTGCCGATGATCTCGTGACCGACGACGCAGGCTAAAAAACATTAGTACGGTGAAGCAGTTGATACAATCCGTAACATACGGTATGGTGTAGGTCCCCAGCCAGATTTCAACATGTGCAAGTCTGATCCACAGATACCGCAGTGAGAGATCTCAATGTCAACATCGTCTTCGGTCCACTTTTTAGGTTCAAATTGACCCCACTCCATCTTTCCCTTGACACTCTCCTTGTCTTTGCCGAGCCATCCTTCGAATTTGGTGTCTGTCGCCATTGTGTAGTTTGTATTGTTGTAAGCGTACGTGCTCGATGTTGGTGCTGTGTTGTAGTGGGATGTTAAGCTGCACCTGCACCATCCGTGCACAAGCACTTATATATCAGCAACGACCGTTAACTCCGTGGACGTTCCGATATGACGTTCACTATGAGCCTTGCTCGTCTAGTAGAGCCTCAAGGCAGCCTATGCAGACGGACTACGGAACTGAGCTATTCTGGTTGGTCCCATCGTCACTCTCATGAGCGCCCATTGGCTACCATCGCCATCATAGTCCTTTACGCGTACTTCTACTGCGGGGACAGTACCAATTTCGTTTACTGATGCTGTGCGTCATCAGTTGAAAAATTATCCACCGCGTAGATAGCGGGAGTAAAGACTTCTCCTATTGGTCGCGTGCCTTGCGCTAATGCGACCGCCGATGGATATCGGGCCACCGCCGAAGATTGTCGGCGGGGCCGACTGATGCAGACCGATGACAATGCACCGGGGTCTGGTGATATCGGGGTTAAACGCGGAGAATGCAACTCGGAGGGCGGTTGAATCTTGTCACGGTGATGACTGGATGCCAAATTTGTATGGAGTCATTGCAGTGTGAGTATCGTATGGGAATGTGCAACAAGATAATAAGTGTATCGTTTGTTACCTTAAACGTTGGAACTTGTCTTCCTCTGCCATTGTCTTGTCGACACGTTCAATCGTTTCAGCGTCATAGACTTCCTCTAGGCTTTTTTGGCCTTTTAACACTTCCCTCTCATGCTTTGTTGCCTCTTCTTTCGTCATAAGAACCAAGTCCTTCATCTGGAGATGACTATTCTTCTGACCTGGTGTTCTCTCATCAACAAAACTCAGAGTTGGCTTAGTCCATCGTGTTAATACTAGGCGTGTAGACAGCCCACTGATGATGCTTCGGCCATGGTATACTTCTTCTACCAGATAACCCACGTCATCTTGTGTTATGGGAATCTTGAGACCCAGTGGGTCCTCGCTGAAGAGTGCGCGTGCCAGTCTTTCTTCGGCACCTTGGAGAGCACCTAAAATTCCGTCGTACATCTTGTCGCGTGACTTGGCTGGCAAGTATTCATGAGGGTAGCCAGAGATGGAAAGGATGACATGATTCGCAACTGCGAGACCGAAGATGGCTGGCATAGTGCCCAAAACTGGCAAGATTCGTACCCGGAAGTCTGCAAGAACACCAAGCTCTCCCACGTTGCCTTTCGCAAATTCTTCTTCGGAGAGAGGTTGGAGTTCAGCCTTTCCTGGGCCTGGCCTCTCTGTAGAGTAGACAACTGGTATGCCGTCCTTGACACCCTTCAAGCGTAGCTTTCGCCTTGTAGACTTTGACAACGGGTCGTCTGTACTTGTGGAGATGTCGCCAATGAAGATTCGTGTAGGATCAGACTTGCATCCTGCACCCATAGAAGATATGACCTTGATATTGTTCATGTAACAGTATGCCAGAAGTGCAACCTTGCTGTCAATGTTGTCGATAGCGTCGATAACAAAATCCGGCTGCTGATGGTTCATGGGTGCTAGCTGAGCTGCAGCAGTCTGCTCGGCAAAGAGTTCATTTCGGCATTCGAAATGTGTCCAGGGTGTGATTTGTTCGAGTCGTTTGCGGAGGCAGTGAACCTTGGGCGTTCCGACATCTGCTAGCGTAGCAACTGCATGCCGATTGAGCGAAGACAGCGTAACCTGGTCAAAGTCGATAAGCCTAAGTTTGGAGCATCCTGAGCGAGCGAGGGCGGCCGTGGCATGTGATCCGACGCCTCCGCATCCGACTACAATTACGAAGGCGTTCCTTAGCTTGGCGATTCCAGGATCTGTCAGAAAGACTCTATTTCTTGCGAGTTGTTCAAGGATGAGATCTGGTGCACTAGTCAGAGTTGAACTGGCATTTCATGAGGGAATTAATACCGTCGTCGTAGTCACCTTTCCTTGCCCTTGCGGCTAATGCCATACTCCGCTCATCTTCCTTGCTTGGGGCGAAGACATTGGAAGCAGCACCATATTCGGTCAGCTGGGTGATGTTAGCGAGTATTTAGGTGGCAGCTCGGCGATCAAGTATGCAGCCGATTCGATATTCGGGTACTCACTCTGGACGCGCGATGTTCGTTACTGATGTCCGGAATCGATGCTTTCAGATCGGCTACCCTTGTCATGCGCCGAGCTTTCTGAAACCCTAGAATCGCACTGCCCACGACAAAGCCTGACACGGCTGCAGTCGTGATGAGCTGAGTATTGTGAGACTCAGTTGCTCGCGATAGCCAGGAAGGCATTTTGGCGGATTGACGTCACACTTTATGCGATGATGTCCTCAATGCAGATCCGCATAGCCGTCTATGTACAGTAGAAGAAGCAGAAACAAAGAGAGCTGCGGATGTACTGGAAACACGTAAAATGGCCGGACTTGATGACTTGTATGTGGTGTCGAATATGCATGCAGGTGCGGCTGTCAAGACTAGCGTGCATCCGGTAAGCGCCAAACCCTCCTCGTCAAAAATGCAGATGACCATTGGGGAGCAGGCGCCAGCGAACCAGACGAGCACGGGTAGACGCGTTCTGAGACATCCCTCACGCGCCGTAAAGGACGCCGAAGCCGTGGGAGTCGCTCTCTGGCTCACGAGGGCCATTCCCATCACGTCCGACGTCCAACAATCCACGTCTCGAAAGATCGAACAACATTCATCATGTCCAAACTCACCTTAGGTTTGATAGCTGCTGGTGGTGCAGCTGCAGGAGCTGCAGCGACTGCAGCGCTTTACTCTGCAAAGAAGGATGGCCCTCCGTCTGCACCATCCATCACCACGACTACGACGACAACCATAGCTGGGCCCGGACGGCCAGCGCCTGTACCCTCGGTCCCTGCCACGCCGTCGCCCGCTGTGGCTGTGGCTGCCCGGAGACCAGTCGTAGACCCCAACGGTCTCTTCCAATATGGGTTCCCCGGCCCAGTCAACGATCTCCGCCCTGCTGCCTCTCTCACGTCAAGTTACGACCGACGAACACGGAACCCCGCATGGGTCGCCGAGCACATTACCCCCGAGTCGCTAGCCAACAGCAACGCGGACAGGAAACACAGTGTGTTTGTAGAAGACGTGACGATCCCCGAGATGTTCCGCGCAAAGCTGAAGGATTACTTCCGCTCTGGCTACGATAGGGGGCATCAAGTCCCTGCTGCAGATGCCAAGTGGAGTCAGGAAGCCATGGACGATACTTTTGCGTTGAGCAACATGTGTCCGCAAGTGGGCGATGGCTTCAACCGCGACTACTGGGCGCATTTCGAGGACTTTTGCCGGAGGCTGACACACTCGTATCCCTCGGTCCGCATCGTAACCGGCCCTCTGTATCTCCCCAAGCGCGAGGCCGACGGCAAATGGCGAGTGTCATATGAAGTCATCGGCTCACCACCCAACGTGGCTGTGCCTACACATTTCTACAAGGTCATCTTCGCCGAAGACGGGAAGCTGGGGGGCAAGGTGGCGCTGGGTGCTTTTGTGCTGCCGAATGCCGTCATTCCCAGCCACAAACCGTTGACGGATTTTGAAGTGCCGGTCGAGGTGGTGGAGAGGGCAAGTGGACTGGAATTTGCGACTAAGCTCACGCCAGAGAGGAAGAGGAGGTTGTGCCAGGAGGTCAACTGCAGTGTCATTGTAAAGGAGTATGCGCAGAGGCAGAAGACGTTTGCTAAGAAATAGGCTTCCAAGCCATGACGAGATGTTATTCATGGTACACTGTATAGTACATTGTGGTCATTCGCTGTGTTGTAATGTCGTGATGGCGTAGTCCAACCGAGCTTTTACAGGTTCTGCACCGCACCGCCCTGGGCACTCTCGCGCTGAATTCTGCCGACGTACTGCTTGCTGACAGTATTCCATGCGCTCATGTACTTTTCCATGCATGCGCTCATGCAGCTTTCCTCGCCCTTGGAGAGGGCGGCACCGGGCTTGGGGATGCAGCGCTCGAAGCAGTGCTCGTTGAGTTTCTGGGAAGGCGTCAGTACGACTTGCAACGCCATGCAGAGACAGTATATGCCCCGGACCGACGGACCTCGACAAGCATGCGCGCATTCTGCATAGCCGCTTCCTGCTGGACCTGGCGCATGACGGCCGTCTTTGGGTCGCTCGGGTAAGAGGACATGCCGCCTAGAGAGTCCATGGTCTCGGGTGGGTGTGCGTCTGGAGGGTGAAGAGACGTGGGGCGTGGTACTGCGAAAAGGTGCGTCGTGCGTGGTTGTCGACGTCAAGAGCGCCTCTCTCGCTAGCGTAGTCGCTGCAACCCGAGACGGTGGACCCCTGCAATGCACGCCGAGGTGATAGAGTGGCCTTTCCATGTCCACGATTCACTCTGCCAACTCCAGCACGTCACGCCCCGTCCCAGTCGCCCGACCCGTGCCTCTCTTATTGTTTTCCCCCACCCACTACAACGCAGTCTTGGTGCCACTCTTTCTTGCGCGCCCGTACTCTCTTGGTGCGCGACCATGTTGGCAGCAAGACCATGGACGAGCCTGTGCTTGCTTGCAGGCAGCTGGACGGGTGCTTGGGCGCGGTCCGGGGGATTGAGCGAGGATCCTGATATCAAGGCCATCTCGCTACGAACACACAGTCTCGAGCCCGTAAGTAGCATTTCCTCTGCGGGCCAGGCCCAGCACCAGCCCCATCCAAACATGCCCTGACACCGCACACAGCCATACCTCGACTCGGACATGCAGAGCCGCTGGTGGGATTTTGGCGGAGACACGATTATTCGGACTGATAAGTACATTCGACTGGCTTCAGACAAGCCCTCGCGGGACGGCTGGTTGTTTTCGCGCGTGCCTCTGACGGCGACCAACTGGGAGGTAGGCTGCACTCTGTCCCATCACATGTCCGAGACGCTTACGCGAGTAGATCACATTCGAGTTCAAGATCCACGGTCAAGGCAATCTCTACGGCGATGGCTTCGCCATGTGGCTCACCAAGCAACGCGCGCAGCCAGGAAACGTCTTCGGTCATACAGACAAGTTTGAGGGCCTCGGCCTCTTCTTCGACACATACAAGAACAACCGCCCCGGTACCGTGTTCCCCTACATCATGGCCATGAACGGAGACGGAAACACGCCCTACGACAAGGACAACGACGGCAAGGCCAATGAGGTCGCTGGATGCTCCGTACGTGCTACCTGGCCCATCTGGCCCTCTCGATACTAACAGCAACTAGGCCCGTGGCATTCGCAATGCCCAGATCGCCACCAAAGCTCGTCTTACGTATTTCCAAGAACAATTCCTCCGCCTCGAGCTCCAATACAAGTCAGAGGGCGAATGGACCCAATGCTTCGAGATCCCCAACTTCAAGGTTCCGCCCGTCGCCTACTTGGGTTTCTCCGCCGAAACCGGCGAACTGTCCGACAACCACGACATCGTTTCGGTCAAGTCGCAAAATCTCTACAAAAAGACTCCTGGGTCGGCTTCCTCGTCAGGAAGCTCAGGGGGCAAGACTGCCTCGTCTATGACGCGGGAAAAGAGCAGCAGCGGTGGAAGCTGGACCTGGTTCCTCGTCAAGTTTGTGCTATTTGGCCTAGCCCTGACCGGTGCCTATGTCGGCTTTACCGTCTACAGGACCAAGCAAAGAGACCGTTTTTAGGGGAACAGCTCGTACCTGAAGTTCAAGGGCAAGAAGAAGCTTGCTTGGCTGGGTCCACCGATGCTCCAGTTTGACGGGTGTGTCGAAGTCGGCGATGAGAATGACTGGATGGCACTGTACAGGGTTGGATGATGGAGTTGAGCTGTGCAAAAATGGCCTGGAGAGGCCATGCACATTGTTTTCTATTTCACCTAGCGCTCCCACTACTCTTTCCTAGCATGTATCAATCCTAACCCTTTAGCGTGACATGCCCAAGGTGGAAGCCATGTCTCCGCATATAATAACAGTTCTCTGTACAAAATCTCACAGAGGCTGCCGATGAAAGCAAGCGGAGTGGGTTGAGGATTACTCTAGCATCCGTTTTAGGTGACCTGGCTACATGGAGTAATAGAAGCGGCCACGATGTCGAATGCTTTATTTATAATCAAGCAACACACAAGACAGTGCTCAATGATCACATGCTTGTGTTGGAACAGGCATACGTGCATATGCGTACACATCAATGTTCATGTCGTGCCAATCGTCTTTAGCAAGACAGCGAATGTGCAATTGACAAACTTCACCTTCGACAGATGACAATATTTAAAGACAGGGCCCGGATGTACAGACCGCTTTTGTGGAGACGCCAAGACATAATTTCATAACCTAGTGGGGTTGGCTTCGTGGTCGATGCCGGTGGAAGGACAAGGTGCTTACGTCATTAGCGCGCTGCTAGTATGGCCCGTGATCGCGCGCTCAACTTTCCAGGGTGCGCGTCCGCAGCTTTCTCTTACTACCCACAACCCGAGCAGCGAGTAAGTAGCCCCGACCGCTATTAATTAGCTTAGGATGCGCCAGCTATAAGCGCACGCGAAACAACAACTAACGCCCATCAGATCCCAGTGAACGACAAACCTTCGTCACAAGGCGATGTTGGGGACTAATCACCCCAGCGTCTCACTGCATGACAATCAAGAACGGAAAGCGGAGGGAGTGCGCCATCATACTAGATGTAGCCACATCGCTCAGCTCATCATTGCACAACGCTGATGGAGGCGATTTCGCAAAGCTACTGGGTTCACCATCACCAGACTCCAGCCCCAGCCTTTCCCACTGCGCACTGAGGAAGAATCAAAAAGGTTGAAGCGCCGTGCTACCTCGCCTAACAAGCTTGGAGGACGAAGTTCGCTCTTGACGACATGAAACGTAGTTTTCAATCCGAGCGCCTTTGCCCTTGTGGCATCGCTGGTCGTGGGGATGCGTGGTCTTTGTCGTTGGGTCTGGGGGTCTAGGTGGTCGTGCTTGTGTTAGATGGGTTGTTTTCTTTTCAATGTCCTGTTTTACAGACGGGCGGAAGAGGTCCAGTGATGATGTCCCTGTGGGGGCATTAAAGCCAAAGTCGAGTTGAGGAGCCCGATCATTGCCTGCTGAGAGGTCGAGAGACTGATCGATGGGGAATGGACGAGGTTCCTTCTGAGGACAGCAGGAGAGCTAATCTGAGGACCATCAATATACAACATACTGCTTAAGACAAAGGTCATCTCTTTACATGCCCCGGTTGACTTGTTCAGAGACCTGCTAGCATCTACGAACTATCTCAGCCCAAGCTCGAATTCAGGCTTGGTGTATCGTACGTTCTACACTCCAAAGGTTGAGGCCCCGGCTTGTGACAGCCGTCGACGCGTGAACTACTCGTAGACGTAGCAGAACGGTCCAGCAACCGTGCTAACCAAGTCCTTGATCTTATATGCCTTGCCGTCCACATTCAACACCTCCAGGTCCACAGTATCCTCCAGACTCTGCGCCCTCCCACCGCCCATCATTGATGTGCCACCTGCGATAACCTGCTGCCTGTTTGGAAAGTCTTGGCTTTGCCAAATAGACCATACACGGTCGACCATGGCGTGATGAAGGTAGAAATATGGGTCTGCGACATCGCGTTGCTTAGTTAGGAAGCCGCAAATGGAGAAAGGGAATGCTACTCACCACCAGGAGATGTATAGAAATCACTCCCCGGGTCACCAGCAACCGTGAAATGCCCCGCCCCGTGAACACCTGTCCCTCCTTGCATAGTATCTTGAAATGTTGCAATAGTCCTGCTGTTTGTGATCAAAGCAGCAGTCTTATCCGTCGTCGCGTACAGTTGCGTAAGGTAATTGCTGATATCGCGCTTGATGCATCGAGGATTGTACCCAAAACCATCTGATCGTGGATTACGTGGAGCCTGCGGACTGTCCATTGCTGCCACCGGTCTGGGAGAAGTCAGCAGATGCACATATAGGATACCAGGAGAGGCAGTATGGCACTGCAAGCATGCAAGGGTGGTACATACCCTAGATTAACCATCATACCCTTGAACGGCCCACTAGCAATACATCCTCCCCCGTTTCCAGCCGGCTTCAACCCATTGCTATTATGCTGCACTTTTTCGCCCTGGCCACTCATACTCGTGTCGCTGCCATCGAAGATTGGGCTAGTCTCTGGGCTGGCTGCCCATCGTCCCCAGTCCCAGTATGGCTGTGTACCATTGTAGCCACATTCGACTCTCAATGCGTTCTCATACGCAAACGTGTAGTATCGATGCCAGGATAGGAAGTTACCCGTGCCATGGATTGAGAGCGTGTATTTCATATGAATTGCTACAAAGTCGTCGAACCGTGTTTTGGCGCCGGGGTACACGGTAGAGAGCTTGGAGGGCGCTTTGGTTATGCACTGGACGGCGGCAATGTAGGCGCGTTTTTCCGAGGCGCTGATACTGCCCCTGATAGTACATGTTAGTTGGCGGTGTATGGAAGAGTATCAGGGTGCCTTTGGACATACCATTCTCGGCGTACGCGGAGTTTGTCTTTGGTACACGTTGTTGAGTTGGCAATGGCGGCGTCGATGGCTGCTCGGCCTTTGGTCTGCAGATCGCCAACTGCATCTGCGGCACAGAGTACCTGTAGTATGGACAGTGAGATGAAGAGCACATACAGCGCCCCAAGATTGAATGCTGCCATCTTCGACTTGGAGGCAGCGCTCACTGACTTGACTACTGTATAATAGAGGCAGGACTCAACTTATACATGAGATCTCTGGGCGTAAGCGCCGATGTACAGGCAAAATTAGTTGCTCGGATCTTTTCAGCCGTGATCTACATGATAGTCATGTGGGAAAGCGGCGAGAGGAGCTTTGTTAGATGGGGCTTTGATTGATGTATTAAGGGTTTCCACGTGCGGATATGTTGTATGTTGAGAGATGAAGTGTGTGATGCGTTCGGCAGATGCAGGTCGAACACATAAGATACTATACGAAGACCTGGAACAAATGTAGGCTACGGGTTTGGATACATTGTATAGCTAGATATGGCCCGAGGATCGACCTACCAACTTTTGAGTAGAGCGTCTTGCGCCAGAGTCCCTTGCGTTTGACTACTGATCTTCAAAGCAAGCTGGAACGAGAATAGCGCCGAAACAAGGCGATAAATATATTTCTATCACATTTGGGGTGACGTGTCGGGAAGTAGCCAGCTCTGTTCAGTGAGCAGTACCCACAGTCTCCACTTGGTAGTTGTGCCGTAGATGCTACCAGTATGTCTGTCGCCAAGGCGGTAACCTTCATCTACGCCGTCTAGACGAGACGGCCAGTACATGCCAAGATTGAGGCTAATATGAGTGACTGCGAGGCGTAGTAGTAATCTTGAAGATCCTGCGCGTCCCAGGAAGGCGTCCAGGGTCTATACATATGTGCCGTGCTTACCTAGGCATGGTAGATCTAGGCAACACTTTCCAGTTTGCACGCAGCTATCGTACGCCGTTTCTAGGGGTGGTCCTATCTGTTTCCAACGTCCAAGAAGGCTTTACGACAACGCCAAAAAGACACTCGAGAGCTCAGCGGAGATGCCCATAAACCGACGTCGTAGTAGATGCTTGCACGACATGACTCATGCATGGATCTGCGAATTTATGCGAGAGAGACGCTAGATGCAGGCGGTTCGTTGAAATGAAGGCATGGTTATTTAGCCGGTAACAAATCCACCCACCCATCCCTCTTGTCGGAGCTTTCCGACCGAGAGGGTAGAACACTATAAGATGCAGTGAGTACTGTGTCGGTCCCAAGATTGACGAGGTTTGACCTTGAACATCGTTTCAATCCTAGCCATCGGAATCGGCATCGGCATCGGAGGTACATTGCCCAGTTGCCTCCAGGAGTGAGTGGGATCCATACGTCCAGTAAACCATCCTTGTCTAGGGTACTCCTTGTTGCATGAGTGACCACCAGAAACCTCTCACAACCAGCGGCGAGTTTAATTTCTATTTTGTAACATGTGCAGTCGCGTACGTCCAGATTGCTGGCCTGAAGACGTCATGTAGACTTCAAGCGCCAAGGCCCAAGGCATCTATTGGTACGGAGCTCTCTTCGCCAGGCAAGCATCGACCAAGAAGTCTTAATCACTCGAAAATTAGCAAGTCCCCCACGTGGCTACCGGAGACGGATGTCGGCAGTAGGTCCCACACCTCCCTATGGAGACTACCATGGAACCGACTCGGTGTTTAAAGTCCGAAGGCGACTGACGAGTATCACCATGCACCATCGCATGAGCCAAGCCATCTTTCGATATCGTTGCTCTTCCGGTCATTTTCATTTTGTCTTCTACTCGTACCCTCATCTTTACACCCCATGACCACGGAGCTCCCGGGATGCTCGTTCATCGGTGTCTCTGACGCAGCTTTGTTGTACCACTGTATAGAACCCATCTATCTACTAGCCTCCAAAATATTCCTCTCCAGACCACTCACCGCCTCCCTCACACTAGGCGCAAAGTGTCTTCTCAGAATCTCTCCCTCCCAAACGGTCCCTGCGAAAGGATTACTACCCTCGATTTCAGGTTTCAGTGCATCAAACACTCCATCGCCCCGTCTCTCCTCTGTATTCCATAGAGGCGCTACCTTTTTGCCATGCGTCTTGGTGACACGATTTAGTAGCCCAAGCATAGCGGTACAAGACTTCTCGGGGAGATGCATGGATATGGACATCAGTTGTTTGGCGAAAGCTGCAACGCGGAGAGGCGGAACGGCGCGAATTGAGGTGGCGGGTAGCAGGACGGAGGAGAGAGAGCGGATAAGTAGAACGATGGTGGTTTGTACGTTGATTTTTGCGGTGTCGGCATGTGATGTCGCAGCATTGGGGTCGGGAAGATGGAGGGACTTGGAGCTGAGTTCGATGTCTGGGTTCAATGCGACAGGATGTAGTGTGCGGTAGAGATGGGTGATGAAGTAGCTGAGGTCGAGTTTCAAGACTGACGCTGTTTTCGCTCCGTCTTGGCCTTCGAGCAGTGCAAAGGCTGTAATGACGCAAAGGAGAGACTCGCGCGTAAGGTTGCGCTCGGGTGCTTCGTTATCGTCGTCTTCATCCGATGCGTCTTCGTCGTCTTCGACTGCGGCAGCGGCCGTAAGCTCGGCGGTGGCGATGATGTCTCGAAGAGCTTCCAGGATATCTCCAAAGAAATCTTGGTTGATCAGATGTGCGTATCGTGCCAGACCTTCCAACACCGCACCCATGAGTTTGGGCGAGCGAGCTTTTAGGATTCGGAAGTATGCCACAAACACCATCTTGAGCGTCTCAGCCTGCATCCTGTCACGCTCCTCGTGACTGACAGCTGCATCCGCCTCCTTGAACTCCTTCTCGATCGCTTTCCTCTCCTTGAGCTCTTTTCGTAACCTCTTTGTCCTGAACTCGCGCTTCTGCTTCATCTTCTTGCCATTGACCATTGGGTCTTCCGCCTTGTCGACGGAATGATATGAGGCCTTCTGCGCAAACTCCGACAGTAGCCGCAGGTGCAAAAACGTGTTCAGCACGCTTTCGTCGAAGTGGTAGTTCCGGCTCTTCATCATCTTTGTCAACATGGTGACGGCTTCCAGCGCAGCGTTGCCATCCTCATCGTTCTCAAACAGGGTTTCCATGGCCTCCCTGCATCGTACAAAGTCGGCATCCACCCTCCTCGTACTAAGCTTGCCAACGAGAATCTTCAAAAGCTCTCCACGGAAGTTGAAATGCGGCACCGAGTTGAGCAGGTTGCATGCGCAGCTGACAGCAACTGTTGCCAGACCAGCGATATGCTCTTTGTCCGACCCGCTCGACTTTGCTAGCCTCGCGAGGTGCTTTACATATGCCTCGTAGCTGGATACCAGCTTCTGCTCGAACTGCCGTAACTTCTTGACTTCCTTTGAGATCTTCTCTTGCATCTTCTCTTCCGACAACGGCCGAATCCTGTATCCGGGAATGATGTCCTTGAAAATGGAGACTTGTGTCGCCAACGCCAGCTTCTTGACGGTAATGTTGTCCGAATCCGCGAGGGCTTGCAGTACCTTGAGCGCTCCAACGTGCTCCTCGGGATCCTCGTTGACCAAACCTGCTATCCGCGCAAGCTCTTCCTTGGCCTCGAGTATCTGTTGTCGCGCTGGTATCTTGGGCTTCTCCTCTTCCACGTCTTGTAGATGCGACTCCTCGAGCGTCTCATTGTCGCTGCCGGATGCGAGAAAGCTGTCCGACTCTTCCTCTTTGATATCCTGCGCATTGGGCGGCGCAGCTACCCATCCCTCGGTTGTCCTGACAGGCAGCTTCTTGTTCTCCCTCTGCTTCTTCAGTTTGCGCGGTCGCGTTTCGTAGTCTTGTTCGAGATGCCATTTCGCGGCGTTCTTCAGGAAGTTTGCCTGGTGGTCTTCGGCCGCGCCGCTGGCATGCTCGCCATGCTCGGGTGGAGAAAGCCGCCTTCTCTTCGCAGCCGGTATGCGAGACATGGCGCAGTTACTCGTGAGCCGATGTGGGCGACGGTCGGGTTTGAAGGTGGATTGCATGCCCGACTGTCTGAAATTTTGGCGGAGGCGGCGGAGGAGACTAGCCCGGCTAGCATCCGCTCCACAATTTTTTGGCAGCAGAGGTCGACTTTGCGAACATGCGCCCAGCCCCAACCTCAACTCTACACTTGTCTACATACGCCCAAGATGAGGCCGCTCACAGAACCAGAGACCAAGACTCTCTTTGAGAAGCTCGCGACGTATTGCGGAAAGGGCATATCGAACCTCATCGCCGACCCTACAGGCGGGTCGGATCGCAATGTCTTCCGCGTCCAGGTATTCACTCTTCCAACCGCCCCCACCCGTCCCCCGCTAGATCAAGTTACTAACAATCAACGCATAGGGCTCACGAGTCTACTACGTCCGCGAGTCCCTCGCCAATCTTGCCACATCCGTCGCGCGCGACAACCTCCTCTCTCTCGGCATCTGCCTGGGCAAATTCACCAAGACGGGCAAATTCCGCCTGCACATCACCGCGCTGAGTGTCATCGCCCCGCACGCACGATACAAGGTCTGGGTCAAGCAGAACGGCGAGATGCCCTTCTTGTACGGCGGCAATGTGCTCAAGGCGCATGTCGGACGGTGGAGTGAGGACTGCCCGGAACATCAAGGTGTTGTTGTGCTGAGTATGAACGATACGCCATTGGTAAGTCGGCCGCCAGCTGCAAAGCGACGAATCGAATCTTGGGCTAACATGTAACATCAGGGTTTTGGTGTGAGTGCACGATCGACGGCTGAGGCGAGAAAACTGGATCCTACGGGTATTGTCACCTTCAGACAAGCGGATATCGGAGAATACCTGAGAGAGGAAGATACTTTGTTCACAACTTGAGCGGCTGGGAGCCTGTGCGACCATGGACACTCTGCAAGAGAAGCTTACTGCTTTGCCACAACCAGGGCCAGAAACCAACGCTCGCGTGCACGGCATATCCGCTTGCTACAAGCTATGGCGCTTTCGAAACATGAAATGGGAAGAAGATCAGTGCTACGGAGCTGTGTGCTGTATGGAAAGCTCTGGACGGACGAATAAGATACCCACTCGCATTCACTATGACCATACGCTGTGTTAGAGCCTAGCGCACAGAGTAGTCCATCTGATGGTATCTAAGCATGAATGACCAAAGCATCATGCACCACTTGCATTGTCATGCTGAATTGAACTTGCTCTTGCTTGTCCCAATGACTCTAATGTATATAAGTTTTGTGAAGCCGGTCGCTCGGCAAGGGTATCAATGTTTGATTCTCGTCTCCCAGCCAAGTAGAAGCTGCACCTATAAAGTCGCAGTCTGCTGCTGTACACTTCACCGCCGAAACTACGCACTCAACCCAGTTTCTCAAGAAGCTTCCTTCTCCTGCGCTCGACTAGCTCGTTGTTGACCTCGTCAAGGGTTGGGATGCGCCATCGTATGCCGTCGCCCACGTCACCTGGTAATTCCATCCACTCCTTCTGTGTTTTGCTCGGCTTTGCGTCCAGTTCATCGCCGAGTAACATGAAATTGTCCCAGGCCTCCTGTTCTTTCGCCGTTTCATATGCTAGCAGCGTGCCGTCCTCTTCGTCTAGGTTGTAGCCATAGTAGCCCGCATCCACCTTCTGCCTCAGCTCACTCCTCTTTTCGCGCCCCTTGTCCATGTCATCTTCCGGTCTGCTCTGCCTCTCGAACAACTCCTTGACACCCGGCAGGTCCTTGGCTCGTCCAAAGTATCTGTATCCCTTTCCTCCTCCTGGCACCTCCCGCCCTTCTTCATCCAGCACTCGCCCGCCTCTCATGTAGTTCGGTCCACCCAAGCCTCTTATCTGACTTTCCCACATGTGCTTCTCTCTCATGAGTTTGTTGATCTCATCGTTGAGGTCGCGGATCTGGTAGTCTGAAAGGGCCTCGTCCTGGATCTTTGTGACTTTGCGCGAAATCTCCTTTAGCACCTGACCGCGCCATTTCTCGCAAATGGGAATCGAGTTGACCGAGGTGATGAGCTTGGGGCGGCGGGTACGCGATATGTCGATGATACCAGCTTCCGCGGCCTGCGCAGCGCGGAAGCGGAAGAGCATCGAGTGCGCCTTTTCAGAATTACGCGCCATGCTTGCGGTTCTGGCTTGGATTCGAGCTCCACGTTACTGTGAGACCGCAGGAGCGAGAGGGTTTCCCTCGATGGCAGTAGCTTTCTGTCGGAGCTAGATGGCGTGCCGTGTCGCGCTTTGGCGTCTTGTCGAGGTGGGTTTTTATTAGGCGTAGGATACGATGATCTATTAGAGATAAACAGAAGCTGCCCGCAGTTGCAGAAGTGAAGATTTGACAGAGACAAGATGCGCGATTGGTGTTCGTGTTGTTGCGGTCGAAGAAAGACTCAACGTGACAGGCGCGTTGGTTGGAGCAAAAGTTTAGTGTCCCGGTCTACTGTCTTGGCGTTATTGCGTACCCACTTTGGATTCAGTATCGCCACCGTACTGCCTTGATTTGTTTAGGTGCTGCTACGCCCTGCCGCGAAACTATTGCTGCACTCATAGCACACTGACGACTCCTCTTGCTTTCTTTTTCAACCCTGCGCCGCCTTGTGTCTAGTTTTGCTCTTGGCAAGAAGCAATCACCTGCACCATGAGGATGAAATACAACGTGTAATCAATCTCGATATTGTTTCATTTTCTATCAATCTAACCAGAGACTGTCGACGCTACACTTCTAAGCCCAGGTACAGACATTATGTAACGCCACTATGCTAAGTATACAAGTAAAACAATACTGAATGCTGCAGGTCGAGGGGAGAAAAACGAACAAGCCGCATATGTTTGAGATGCGCTTCTGGTAGAATGGAGACAAGCCGGAGACTAGTCCAGGTGGGAAGCGTCAGGTCATCTCAGTGTACAGCTCTAACCCCAGTCGAGCGAACTGCGCAGATTAAACAGGAGATACTTCACCGTTGAACGCCATGCACAAAGCTCCTTGAATCCGCATTCGAATTTGAGTTTCTGCTTCGTCCGGATCCAAACCGAGGTGTAACGTCCAAAGGCCGAAAGATGGATTGATAGATACATAGGAAAATGGGAACGGTCCCCATATGAAACGACTAGTGCTAAAGGAAAAGAGACTGTCAGTTAGACCAGATGACTAGAGAAGCGTCGTGCGGGACGAACACGGATGACAAAATAGGAAAGGTTCAGGTATAAGGTGAGATTATGCACCAGCTCCATAGTTCGCTGCCTCCATCTCAGCCTGATGGCGCAGCTGCTCATTGCGCATCTCAGTTCGCGACTCCGTACGTGATTCCGTACGTGACTCCGTACGTGACTCAGTCCGAGACTCTGTGCGGGACTCAGTTCGGGATTGCGCGCGCGAACTCATGGAGCCGAAGAGTGAAGGCCTGGAAGCTGAAGAGTTGACGTGCCGACCTTTGATTGAATGTTGATGAAGATGTGCAACATCGTGCTTGCCTTTTGAACTCGTTAGCTTTCCCACACTGATGTAATCAATCAAGGAGTCTTACCATCGCAGCATGCTCGGACGTTGGGCATGAAATCCTGATCACGTTCAACATGGTCATGGATATCACGACTGAGATCCATGTTGGACGCGCTAGGTTCCTCGTACGCGGCCGACTCTGCAGCGCTGGTCCTGCTATTTCGCCGACTAGTGAAGGATCCGCGCAAAGCAGTAACGCTGGGTCGGAGCATGCTGTTGATTCGGCTGGAAACAGATCCATGCACCAGCGGCTCAGTCGAGGTTGCGCGATGTGGTGTAACATGCGACTGTCGAATCGTGGGCACTTGACCATAATCGCGGGACGACGTGCGCCGGGTAACGTATGAGGACATCGAGCCTCTTGAACGGCCTGTTTGTCGAGAAGAGCTACGATACCCACCATTGAACTCGTCTTGAATCTCTTCTGCGGTAGCTGCCTTCTGGTCTTGATCAGACTTCGTTGGCGACTTTTGCTGATCGTTCTCGTCGACCCGTTGGCACAGATAATTCAGAGCGTTATACCACGTCTCATGCCTCTGACCTGTTGTCGCCGTGAACTTCATCGAACGACCAGGTGTGACGACAAGCAGGCTTTTCTGGTGAAGCCCAGGGGGTAAAGGGTTAGGGTCATCAACTTCTTGAACAGATTCGATGGCTACGCTCTTAGCCTTCAATGTCGTTTTATCGGCACTCTGAGGGTCTCGGTCGCTCCAGTACAGTGTCCTGGTGTAAGGATGAATCCAGAAGAAACGCCGGTGGCGGTTCTCAGACATGCCTTCCCGTCCAGTCTTGCGGGTGTACTTCCACAAATATTCGCCAATCATCGTCTGAGTGATGGCCTGAATCATGCGCGGATCTGTCGCACCGGGCGGCAATCCATTGGCAGCAAAAGATGGCCCCCCTGGAATGTTGAAGCGTTGGTCTATTTCCGAAGTAAACGAAGATAGTGATGACCTTCGGCTAAGAGGTGAAGAAGCTCCGCTACGCTGTGACTGCCGAAGTACACGCGGTGTGGTCCCGCCTGTTCTAGGAGTGAGGGTGTTATTACCAGTCTTGATGGTAGGCGTATGCGGTCGCTTCTTGTAGGCGGATGCGGGCATTGTAGGCGGGCCCATTGTGCCTGGAGAGATTGGTTTGAGAGAAGCCGCGGCGATGACTTCCTTATGGTCCGAAGGCAGAGGAGGAGGTGTTGCAGCGCGAGAGCGCATGCTACCCGAACTGCCTGGGCGTTTAGGCGTTCGGCTTGTCTCATTGACATACTTTTTGCTGGGCGACTCTGGCGGCGACAGCGACTTTTCAAGCCCGGACGTGGTTATCAAACTACTCCATCGCTGACTTCGAGCAAGCAGCAGCTTGTCGATCTGCTGAGCAGATACCATTGTTTGCGTAGCTCCATCGGCCATTGGTGTTCGGGGAGTCTTACTGGCGGCATTGGCACTGACAGGTGGGAAGGCTGTGCTAGCATCCCTGCTATCAACCGGTAGGGTGTTAGCGTCTGTGGTGATATTCTTACTCCAGGGTAGTAGAGTATCAAAGTAGCTGAGCTTAGGCGTGGATGCTTGCTTATTCGCCGATGCTTCTGTCTGAGAAGAAGCACTGGTGGTTACAGAAGGCGCGACGGCCCGATCAGCGGTGAAAGGTCGCGGAGCAGCCAATGGTTCAGTATCCTGCGCAGCAACAGGGGGCAGTGTCATAGTAGTGACAGAAACACGATTTGCTGTGGATGGCCGACTTGTCGGTGTTGGCAAAAATGCCGGAAGCGTCGGCGACTCAGGCTGAGTGTCTTGAACAGTCCGCACATCGGAACTGTGATGTAAAGACACTGAAGGGACAGGTAGTGGGACCGGCACGGTCTGCAGTGCGCAGACGGTTGATAATTGCAGTGGCACCCGTTCTGGCTCTACGGGTGTGATGGCCTGAGACAAAACCCCAGAGAAATTGGCGAGAGTTGGTCGCTTGGGTACAGTTGGCTCGGTTGTCCGTGAGGACAGCACGGAAATGGTCGACGGTGCTACTCTCATAGGTTCGATGGGATTGGATGCCTGGATCGACAACGAAGATAGTTGTGGTGGATCTGCTCTGGCCACTGCCACCGGGTCCGTCGAGCGAGCGGAGAAATTGGACAACACGAGTTGCGGCTGTCGTAGCGCAACGGGGTCCGTGGCTTGTGCGGAAAGTGGAGAGAATTGTTGCCTGATGGTTCCCGGCGCGCGCGGTACTGTCGATTGAGTCGATGTTGTAGAAAATGCAGAGAGAACCACTCGAGGCAAATCTTTGGGCTCCGTCGCGCGAGACACCAAAGGTGACATCTGTAACAACATCGGCTTGTAGGGTGTGACTCTAGGCTCAGTCTCGTGAGCAGACAAACTTGACATTTGGAGTGGTGCACGCTTTTCTCTGTGACTGAAATCCTGGGCAGGAGATGCTGGAAGCATATCGTCGGTGCTTCGATTTGACTCTGTTGTCGAGACAGATTCGGTTAGTTGTGTGGGCTCGGTCGATTGCGCATAGATAGCAGACGTAAAAAGACCTGCTGGAGCCAGTAAAGTTGGAGTAGTCGCCTTCCGCGGCTCCGTCGTTTGATGAGAAATGTGGGAGACGTCCAAAGAAGGTGCGATGTCCTTCACTACCACTGGTACGATAGGATCAGTGCCACGGGACGATACTGTCGACACTCCAAGAGCAGGAGGAGCAACGAGGCGAGGTTCGGTGCTATGAACAGCCACTGACGACATATTCAGAGGAGCAATGGGTACGGCACGTGGCGCCGTGTCTTGGGCATGTAGCGGAGAGAATGCGAACAACGGAGCTGAAGGGACTGTTGGCTCGGTTCCCTGACTTGAAAGAGAGGACACAGCCAGCTGAGGTATCTCTGGAGGTTGGGGGCTGGTAGCATGACCGGAGACGGAAGAGAAGCCAAGGGCTGGCCGAAGTGCAAGCTTGGGTTCACTGTCTTGTGAGGAGACCATAGAGACCTCGAGGTCTTGACGAGGCAAAGCTCGCGGGCTTGTGCCTTGCGAATGCAGGGCAGAGACTTGTAATCTAGGCAAGCGAGCAGCATACGGTTCTGTGTTCTGGCTCGAGATAGAGGATATGGAAATGGGTTGGGGGGCATCCTGTTCTGTCATCGTGCCCGAATCAACCATAGTCGGCTTATGAGCATCAGATTGAAGAAGCGACCTTCCGAGAACGGCCTTTCTTAGTGGATCTGGTGTGGCATGGCTTGAGTATATGACACTAGATCGACTTGGTGATCCGTCGATAGAACTGGCGTCGTCGTCGTCGCCACTCAGGTCGTTGAGTTCTGCTAACAGACTCTTGCCTTGGGCAGGAGTGTTCTCGTTGCTGCTGCTGACGTAGCCCGCGGGGGAGTCTCTTGATGCTGGCGGGGTGCCGGCAAAGAAATCTAGCCCTCTCGGCGTCGATCTCCGCGAACTGCTGTCTCTTGCCTTTAAGCTGAAGCGCGAAGTCTGGTGGTGGAGAGGAGTCCTGAAATCGGAATCGTATTCATCACCAGAGGCAGAAGCAGTACTGCGGTAGGAATTGATGCGACCACCTTGTGAAATTGAGGGTCGACTACGCCGGGCAGCAGACTTGGAAGGGCCGGCCTCAGTCTCCGTCAGCTGGTCGCTGCTATCTCCGTCGAGGGTTTCGGCTCCGGTTTGGAATGCGTCGGACTCAGTTGTCATACCATCGCGTTCATTGGCAGTCTCGAATGCAGCATCTGAGGTCTCGTTGGCAGTGTCAAAGTTATCGTATACGCTCGTCCCCGCGGCAGAGCTGAATGCATTTGGGAAGGAGCCTGGTATAGAGTTCGATGGGTGCGGTGGCCGACTCGGGGTATCAGGCACGGCCTCTTGCTCTTCCCACTCGTCGTCTTCTACAATCTCGTGCGACACATTGCGCAAGGCCCCGAGACGATCTGGTCGAGCGGGTTTCTTGAAAGCATCCTTGTCGCTCTTCCTTCGCTTGCTTGCGCTACCAGGTGCGACTAGAGCGCGAGTAGCGTCGACCTCATCACGGGCGTCTTGGAGCATGCGTTTCAGTTCGATCTTTTCGGTCTTTTCGCGATGAATGTTGTTCTTGAGCTGCTGAATCATGCGGTGGGCGTGTTGAAGCGAATGTTTGAGTGTTTCCGACTCGAGCATACCGTGGCGCGGAGTGGCCTTGCTCGGGGATGGTTCAGGTGAGTGTTCAGGCGTTTGGGATTGATGCCTGACACCACGGTCATCATCAGACGATGCGTCAGATCGGCCACGGTGCTCTGATCTTGCGCGGTAAGCGACGGCTTGAGCCAATTCTTGATTCTTTGACGTGAGCTCTTCGACCTTGCGCTGCATTGCACCTTTCTCCGTCTCCGTCATGGCTGCGACTCGCCGCAGACTAGAAAGCTCAGTCTCGTGCTGCTTGGTCTTGTTGATGTGATCGTCGTTGAGCTTGGTGTACATCTGCTTCAGATCTTCCAACTCCTTCTCCAAAGTCGACCTCTCGGTACGTGCGAGATCCAAGGCATGGTTGAGGCTTCGCTCCTTGTCTGCGGCCGACTTAAAGTGTGTTTCTGACTCGCGAACTTGTGTCTCAAGGTTCCAATTGACGTCTTTGAGTCGCGATTCGCTTTCATCTAGTGTTCTCAGACGTTGCGACAAGCCTTCGACCTCGATTTCGAGCTGCGATCGGTCCAGATCAGCTGCCTTGAGGGCTTCGTCCTTCTCCAGGAGGACGGCCTGCAGGTCCTTTAGCTGGGAGAGCAAAGAGGTGGAGATTTCGGTGGCCAGGGCGATGTCATTGATGCGGCTAGGCTGCTGGTTCCTCTGCTTCCGCGACGGAACGCTCACTTTGGTGGGTGACTGGATGGCTTCGCTGGAGTAGATGGAGCCGCCGGCAGTGGGATCCGTCTCGCCACTCGGTACGCGAGACTTGGGGAGGAAGGCGCGCGCCGTCTCCCTTCCAACCTCGTTGAACTCCTTTTCTAGTTCGGCCAGGCGCTGGCGCAGCTCTGGGCCGATGTCGTTGTCTTGCTGCTGCTGTTCGACCTCGTGCAGCTTGTCCTCGAGCTCCTTTCTCTGCTGCACAAGCGCACTCCCCAGGTGCGACGTCTCTTGCAGTCTGCGCGTCGTCTCTGCCAAGTGCGCCTGCAGAGCGCGTTTGGCCTGTAGGGGTGATCCGTTCAAGTACAGCGAGAAGTGCGAGTTATCGAAGGCGGAGTATCGCTGCCGGTGGGTGTCGTGCGGTGCGGCGAGGAAGGGGTCGGCGCCATTGTGGTGCTCCACCGAGAGCGCGCCCGGTGGAGGATTTGCTGTAGCCATGAGGAGTCGCTGGACGCGTTTGCTATTGGGTCATGTCCTGGGCTGGCTCCCCCGCTTGCAACTAGATGGGCTCGGGACGGCGGGCGGAGACGGGATGCGTTGGGCGAAAGGTGCAGGTAAGGAGCGGGCGGCGAGCGCGTGCCGCGGCGGCAGGCGGAGGCGGAGACGGCGGTGGCGAGGGTGGTTTGGGGGGTAGTATTAGAGACAGAAGCGATGGTAGGTCTCACTCTGTCGGGCTGTGGGTGCAATGCACAAAGGGTTTGGGGGACAAGGACGCGCGGGAAAGCGACTGGGGACACGGCAGCGGCTGCTGGCACTCGGTCGCGTTTCCGTCACACTAGAGAAAAGAAGCAAAGGCGCATCACCAGGCAGCGGCGCGGGATGGCGAAGAAGGAAAAACAAGGGAATGCCGAACGGGCTGGAGGGGCTACAGAGGCGACAGAGGAGGGATGATGGTAGAGCGGATGATGTTGTGCACAAGAGCGAAATGAGGCGACCGTGCGCTTTTGCCGCTTTCACGCTTTCGCCATGGAACCAGCGCTGGTACCCATAACATATCCACAACATCAACAAAGCTACGTATGCGCCTCCATTGGTTCGTGCCGGCACCTGCTGCACGTCGCATTGCTAGACTGCGCGACTGACGTGGTAGTGCAGCGGGTCGAGGGGCTGTTTGTGTAGGCGATTGGAGCAAAACAAGCACGACGCGCATCGCATTACCCCACGACCGCCGTCTCGGATCGCGTCACGTGACGTCGCATCTGTCAGCCACAGCTAGGCTCCGCCTCTGCGCCTCACTCCGACTTGTTCACCGTCTCGCACCCCAACCCCCGCCATGGATGTACCCGTCGTCAAGTTCAAGAAGCGAGGAGCAAAAGCTGCGCCCCGCAAAGTGGCCCCCCCGCCGCCGCAGTCGGATTCGGATTTCTCTTCAGACTCAGAAGGAGAGGGCGAGCATGGCCGCGTGGTGAAGCGGCGAAAGGCCAACGACAACGCGCTCAAGGCGTCGACTGCAGACCAGAAAACGCATGCGGCCGTCGAAGGTACAACACAATATGCGGCAAATCGCTCTGCGGTGATGGAAACGAGCAACGATGCGACGAAGCAGTCAGACTGGTACGACGAAAATGCCGAAGACGCTCTCAGCTCCAAGAATCTGCTCGGTAGCACGCGAACGAAGCCCCACAACTTCATCGAGAAGAACCCCGACGCACCCAGTCGCCAAGTAGGACCTATGAAAGCATCAACAAACATACGGACAATCACCGTTACAGATTACACGCCGGATGTGTGCAAGGACTACAAGCAGACTGGTTTCTGTGGCTTCGGCGACAATTGCAAGTTTTTGCACGCCCGCGAAGACTACGCGGCAGGCTGGAAGCTAGACCGTGAGTGGGACATGTCGACCAAAGGCAAGAAGCCTGGAGGTACTGTTGTCGCTTCTGCCAACAGGGACGAGAAGGAAAAGGATCAAGACGGAACAGACCTTGCGCTACTCGAAAAGATACCGTTTGTCTGCCTCATCTGCAAGAAGCCCTACAAGAACCCTATCATCACCAAGTGTGGACACTACTTCTGCGAGCCTTGCGCTTTGAAGAGGTATCGAAAAGACCCCACATGTGCAGCATGTAGTGCCAAGACATATGGTGTTTTCAACGGCGCAAAGAATCTCCAGAAGCTGTTGGAGAAGAAACAGAAATGGGAGGATCAGAAAAAGGCCGAAGCAGAAGAAAAACTGAGAGAAGACGAGGGCGGCGACTGAGTCTGCTGGGTGACAGCACAGTGGAAATATTAACAAGTTGGTGCAAGCATGGAGCTATGCTGGGCAACTGATGGTATCGTTGATCATTAGGCCGTTCCTTCCCAGTCATAGAAGCGATCCATCACCTTAAATGTAAGACAACCCGACAAGGCGCAGGCATAACCACCGCAGCTCTCATGAGGCTTGGGGAATAGCTTCGCTGGCAAAGCTGCTGTCGTTGGCAGGAAAAGAAACCATGTCGCACGCCTCGTTGCAAGGTAGACTATACGACAGGTCCGCCCTCTATTTGAGGAGGACAGGACTGGCTTGCGAAGCATACGAGGGAATACAGATGCTACAGCAATACAGATAGGAAGTAGATAGTGCGCTCATGCTAGTGTACATCAGTCCTAGTCAACGCGTTCACACTTTTGGGCCATGACTACACAGTTCCGTCTACTATGTCAGAGGCTCAATCTCTTCGTCTCGTCTATACTCGTTGTGATCTTAGCAGTTTCAGATGACGTTTTAGCCCACAAGAAGCATGGCATATTGCCATAAACTCGCTAGAAGATGCTGTGAAGACGGAGACTAAGAGGACGAAAAAGTATCTCATATTTGGAAATATTAGAGTTCTGATATAAAAATTAGCCACCAGAGTTGCGTTACGATGAATATGTCATATATACGCATATGCGGTAAGCGCTAAATAGCTGAAGAATACCACCGTAGTTTATTATGGCTCACTTCGCTAGTTTGTAGCACCTTACAAGCACAAAGACTAGCAAGGTAAACAAAAGTTTTGTGATATTAATACAACGAAGGTTTGAAGGCAAAAGGTCTAGTTAACATGTTCGCTGAGTATAGAGTCGCACTCTACAACGCACTTTCGGCACCAGGGAAGGCCTTCAAAAGGGCTGCGTCGTACTTGACAAGCTCGGGGCACCCAAGCTCTGCAATAATCGGGTCTAGAACAGAGGCCAGTTTTTGCACAGCGACCAAGACGTTGCCAAATAACCCGCGGAGGATGTCAGGAGCAGCTTCGCTGGCGGCCTGGAACGCAAGGCACATCAAGTTGTTTCCCTCAAGAATTGTCTGCGCGTTGAAAACGTTGCCTGTCAAGTCGTCGATATCGACACCCGTGAACGAGTTTGGCTGGCCGGTATTTCCACCAATTCGGATGAACTCGGGGTGGGCTAATTCGAGCGAAACGGCTTCAGTAGTGAACGCCAGGATGCTGTAATCGTCACCGATGACGCGGCGGTACCACTGTGATGAGTGTTAGCAAATGCAAGCTGATGGTGTTATGGTGTGTACTCACGTTCTCAGGAATCCTCTCTTGCCCACGAGCCCACTTGTAATTACCCTTCTCTCCAGTAACACCCTGGAATGACATGAGTGTCTTGGCATCAAGGTAGCCGTCTGGGTTATCAGCAGTGTGGTTGGCGAAGAAACGGTAGGTGAATTGATATGTCGCCGGGTTAAGCGCAAGGGACGTTAGCGGGCCTGAGAAGTAATGTCCATTCGTAGCAATCGAGTGCCTCGTGCGATCAAGGCGGAACGCGGTCATGACAGAAATATCAATGCCGTTCTTGCCGAGAGGCATAGAAAGGAGCTGCTCGAAATAGCTCAAGTTAAGAGAGACGGGGTTGCCACTACGAGTAATGAGTTATGCGGACCAGGCGACAAGATGAAGAAACGTGAATGACATACGTTGAATACAAGTCCCCTCGCGTGGGCGATGCATCAACCTCGAAGCGGTTGTGTGACGCACTGAGGCCTTGTGGTTCTCCAAGAAGGCCGAGTGATGAGGCGACACCGCCTAGGAGTCCACCAGTCTTAGGCTTACCGCCAATCGAAAAAGAGGTGAGGTCTCCTGCCATGATGGCGGAGTAGATTGCCAGAAATGCGGAAAGGTCCAGGCCCATACCAAATACTGAGGTTGTTAGCACTCCGTGAATAAGAGCGTCAAGGCATGCAAACCCTCATTAGCGGCCGTAGTCATTTGTGCAACTGTGGCGATGCCGTTTCGGGGTAGGTAACCGTGGTTTGCCATAACGTTGATACCAGGGCAAGGTCCACGGAGATCATTGGGGCCTGGTGCAATCTGATAACGAAGTTGTCAGCAAATGCACTCCGTGTCGCGCATCTCGGCAGGGCCACTCACGTATTTATGATCACCAGTGGTACTGATGCGCTGAGCCTCTGCATTGAATGCACGTTTGACGTGGGCACCCGATCGCTTGCTCTCGAAATCTCTTGATATCTTCTCCGTCAAAGCGGTGATCTCCGCAAGAGTCGCTCCACTGATGTCGCCTTTGAGCATGCTCGCAGGAAAGGCGAAGGTCGCCAATGAGAAGAGCGTTGCGCTACATAGCACTGAGACCTTCATGTTTGCAACAACAACAAGCTCGGATTTGAAAGAGTGTGAAGGAAGGACGTGAAGTTGGATTGAGGAAGATACGGTCCGCGACAGGTAGGGATTGTTTAACTTTCATAGTGGCAAATGAGTGCTGCACACACGTGGGCCGCTATGACTCTCATCTAACTGTTGCCGATAGAGATGCCAATCTGGGGTCAGGTACCTTCCAGCATAGTCATGACAGCCCGCTTCACTTGCTCCAAATTATAGGGGGGAGGGTCTGAGGCAAGGAGATCGACGTGGGCGTTCTCTCTGCACGCTTTAACCTGTCGCAACCCGCTCGCGCAAGCTATAGGGTTCAGTCCGTTCCCGGGTTTGCTAGATCCCGCGGCTGGCCTTAGGGAGAATAAAGCGCTCTAGCCTTATCTAGGTAAGAAGTTAGGCTTGAACTGGGTAAATTGTAGGAATGTCGAGCGAGTATTCCAAGACTTTTGAGCCCTAGGCGGCGATCAAAGCGCGCCGGACCGTGTTCGGGTGAGTACCTAGGTAGTTAAGCTTGTAGATCGGCAGCTAGCTGGATATCTCGCCTTTTTTACCGCATTTGTCTGACCAACGTCCGCACAGAGATGATGAACGTTGCCTGCATCGATCAAAAGCGAATTGTTTATTTTGAACACGTGTGAAGCTGCAGGAAGGTTGACTGATCTATGCATCCCGCCCTCGCCCTACTTCCATGCGGCGGAAATGGAGATTGCCAAGGTGAACACCTGGGCATGTAAACCCGCCGCAAATAATCGGTCCAAGACGCATCCGAAACTAGCGCATATGGTCTAGCGGGGATGATGTCTAACTACCTAGGTAGGCCGTTGTTCATACGTGCTAGGGGATTAAAGGCGTCCACGGGTATTTCTCGCTGCCCAAGTCAGAGCCTAACACTGGGAAACGCTTGGACTGAAGACGCTACAATCTACACCAAAGCTGACAATGGGTGACAAACCACTTTTGGGGGCCAATGGAACAAGATCGGTGCATTGCCCGGCGCGGGCTTCTAAGCAGAGTCGCATGCAAGTTCAAGCCTCGCGCAGAGAGCCTGCACTGCATGGTTGGCCGCGAACGATGCCCTGATTAGCATTATCCCAAAGCCAAGCCAGTGTTGCGCGATACCTACGCACTCTTCTAAGCGTCCCCACAGGCATATGCCAAAGCTTGTACTGCAGAACAGCGGCAAGATTCTAGTTTGCCATATGGGAGACGGTTCTCAGCCGGGTACCCACCACTCAAGGAAAAGGGTGAATACCGGCCACTACCCAGCTGGCTAACTTCTATCCGCAACCCTAGGTATCCTCGACATCGTTCGATATAAACTTGATCCTTGTCCCACGTCAGCATCGTATCGAAGGACCGCAGTTGGATTTTCACATAGCGCCAAGGAGCATTCGTTTCAATTCCTTCTCCTTTTCCTTATTCTCGAGTCCAAACCACATGGCTACCTACGATACTTGGGTTAGCAACCCCAAAGAGAGCCATGGAACGCTTATGTCCGTCGTCACCTGGTCGCTCGTCTCCGTCGCCGCTGCCTTTTTGGTCCCTCGGCTTTATATTCGCCAGCGTCAAGGGAAGCTGTGGCTTGACGATTGCACACTTACCGTCAGTTGGGTAAGTGCCACAACATCTCGAAGCGAAGATCAGTTGACTCATTCGATACAGATCTTACTTCTGATCCAAGTTACCATAAACCAACTGTCTATCAACATAGGCTACGGAAAACATACACTTGACCGTAATACGCCAAAGGAGAGTCGCACATTCCATACCTCAGATTGCTAATCTTTACGCTAGTCGATTTACGCAATGTCGATAAAATGATGTATATTGGCGCAGCAGAACTGACAATATACACCGTCGCTATTGCCCTAAGCAAGATCTCTTTTGGACTTACTTTGCTTCGATTGACGGACGGATGGGTCAGACTCTTCGTATACTTTGCGATCTCTACCCTGGCGATTTTCGCAGTCCCTGCCACTGTTATACCATGGGTACAATGCAAACCGCTGGCTAAAACCTTTGTGGACTTTATACCGGGCGAGTGCATCAACAAGCATCCCTCTGTCGTGTATGGGCGTTTCCAAGCTGGTGAGCAGATAGCCTCAAGGTGTGTACCTTGATTCCTTAGCTGACATGCGACGCAGTGTGGTCAGCACTTATGGATGTGTCTCTTGCTATACTGCCGTGGAAAATCCTTTGGAACTTGCAAATGCGTACCGCAGAGAAGATCGGTGCATGTGTCGCCATGAGTCTGGGAATACTGTAAGTTCATACATTGCTGGGTTGAAGACTGGGCTAATTTGATCGAAGAGCTGGAGTCACGTCAATTGTTAGATCCACATACATCGAGAAATTGACAGTACAGGATGTATCATGTAAGGCATCTCAAGGCGTGCACCGATCATTGCTAACAGCCACAGATGAATCGTACAAATCCATCATATGGGCAGTCGCAGAGTGTTCCATGGCCATCGTCGCTACCTCAATTCCCGTACTTCGCGTCGTTTTCCGGCAGGCGTTCAACTCCGCTATTGAAGGCTACACGGGTCAGAGTAAAAGCAAATCGCGATCGAACCCTTCCAACGCAGCGAGCTCGGGGAACCGAATGAGCACACGACAATTTAGCAAGAAGACGCCAGAAATATCGGTTAGCGGAGAATCTGTGAAGGAAGTGTTTGGACGTGGATCACATGGATCAGAGAACTATGTAGAGCTAGATGATCTGGCAGTCGAGGAGGGTACTGGGCGCGTTACTGCTTCGTCTCTAGAGACTTTGCCAGACGATGCCGAGCGCTATGCACTAAACTGGCACGTGTAAGTTGCTCCGCGATTAGCGCGCATAAGGCGCCTAAAGGGCTGCGCGCAGAGAAGTTCTATAGTGTTGTCAATTACTCCTGCTTCTTGGGTTTATATCTTATTTCCAGTGACTGGCGAATTCATAATTCAACCATCAGAGGAGGAGCTTTGACTGAGCCGCGAGAAGGCCGGACGTAGCAGGTCTGAAAAACACGCATATACTGTCACGAGCGAAGTCGGAAACACTTTTCTTCGACAAAGCCGCCGCCTACAAGATTTGGCGGCTCAGTTTCGACGACTGTCATGATGTTCACATCTGGGAGCACCGCCCGGTCGGAGTACAGATGAGCTACTAGACAAAGTGGAAGAGGTCCGTGAAGCGTACGTCAAGATATCTACCTTCAAGGAGCTAACAATTACAGGTATTTGCACTTGTTCATGGGTCTAAAAAGATCAAAGGCATGTTTACCAGAGTCCAGTACATAGTGCGACATGTCGCAGAAGATCCTATGACCAAACGTGCTCGCAGCATTCGGCCTGGAGAGAAGGATCCCACCATGCTCGATGCCTTCGAGAATAAGGCAGACGCTACTTCCACCCATTCCGAGCCCCTTGTCCAAGCGCTCGATGAGACATACAACGAGCGATTTTCCTTCGCAGAAGCTGATGAAATAGAGGATACCATTCCATACCCAAGTCGCAGCCACAATCCCACCGAAAGACTGTTTTGGAGAAAGGCCCGGTAAAGCTAAATTAGACGAAGGGCTGCAGAGATTGCACAATTCAAGAGCAGTGGCAATATGGTGGGTATTGGCGAGCGACCCTTTGTTTAGGGTTCTGGCCAGAAAAGGGATGAACGAGCTCCGTTCGAAGAGAGAACTCGACGCATCCGGGAATTATGGAACTGGGATTCCGTAGTTTGAATGGGTAGATAGGTCACGGGGTCCAGACTATTCTTTACCTACATTAATCCCGAATGTACTTCTGTGAAACCAAGCGAACTTAGGGATTCTCCTTGGAACTTTATGGATACAGTAAGAACGGCTCTACGCCGTCAGCGAGAATATGACATCCAAGGGAAACATGTTATCGAAAAACTGTTTACCAACCATGGCCAACGGTCAATATACAGGGGGTGCCGTCTCTCATCCAGAATGAAGGTCGAATCGTTGACGAGGCTTCCCAGGCTTACGCTGCCATCGCCTTGTTCTACCAGATGGGAGAGTTTCTTGGGCAAGGACGCAGACGAGTGTCGGAGGCTAAGTGAAGGCGTGACGTGGACTACGCAGACGCGCAAAGTGTGTGAGATTGTGTTTTGGCGAAGTTTTGTAAACGTAGATGCCGGCTTCCTTGAAGGGTTGCATTCTGGATGGCTTTCGTAGCAAGGTCGGTAGACGGCAATGATAGCTCACGATGCGCACATGCGGTGTTCAAACAGCAGACGTCGGACTAGCCTATGTCTGGCTCTGTACGACGTTGTGTCTCACAGCAGGGTGACTTGGGATCGCGAGTGGCTTGGCACATGACGGATGAGATGTACGTGTGTTGTGCATGGGAGAGGTGAAGCCTTCTAGAACCGTGGATCCCCCACCGAGCCCTGCCTGAACGGGCAAGGCGTATGTCCGAATAGCAGCCGGATCGAAAGCGTCAGATGGAAACTTGAGCGCTGCCCCTCATGACCAGCGGAGGCAGAGATTTTGCAAGCACCATTTGGACACCTCTCGAGCACGCGGTTGTGCTTTGCTGCGCCTGTCGCCCGCGAGGGAGAGCTGAAGTTGCCGCCTCGTTGGCTCGGTGAGATCGATTGACCAGAGGCGTCGTGTGACGTGCGCCGGCCAACCACCCGTCAGCCTCCGAATGCGTCACTCCCCGATACCAGGTACGCGACGGGCAATGCGACCATGGCCGGCTGTGCTGCCCGTAACCGCCCGCCATGAGTGCGACGACTGACGCTGCTCAGGTGCTGCCCAGTATCCCTCTCCGCCCTCTACAACCACCTGAAGGCGACAGACGCCAGCCCGGCGCATGCCCAAAGCGGAATCATCCGGCCGATCAGAAGACTCGTCCATTCCCGCGCAGTCCATGCTTCTTCACGCCGACCCGGGCCTGGCCGAGGTCCCAGGCTTCAGAAAAGAGCAATTGGACGCCCTGGCCCGCAGCGTTGAGCTGAGAAGGCAGCAGCTCGAGGCCGACATCCGGGACTACATAGCGGCCAAGCAGGACGAGCTGCGCAGACATGGCCACGAGGTATGCGTCCCTGCCCCTTCTCTGCTTGCTGTGAGAGACTGATTTGGGCCTAGCTTGTAGACCGGTACCGCTCCATGGCATGCGACCAGCAGTCCGCGTCTGCAGAACAAAGCTGTGCAGGTAATGCCGAAGGCCCTGCTGCACCGCTCGACCCGGAGCCCGAGGACAAGATCAGGCACAAGAAGCACACCAGAGTGCACAAGAGGGAGAAGGAGCTCTATGGACTAGTCACGCCCGTTTTCCTTCCCTTGCTCGATGCGCGCGACAGTTCGCCCGAAAAGAAGAACAAGTCCAAGTCCAGGCCCGAAGCCGCGCACAGCCCAGTCACCCCGGCAAGCATAGCACACGCAGGAGCGTCAGGACATGCTGAGCACAGTAGAGACGACCGGAAGCCTACCAGCGACGCCAAGGACATGGAGGGCATAGCGCTGGGAGAGCCAGCCAAGCTGAGGCAGCCAGCTGATGGAGACAAGAAGACCAAGCGCACCACGACGAAGAAGTCTGCGCTGCGGCACAAGGACACGCCTAGATTGCGCCGGAAGAGGGTCAGTCTGGTCATCGATGGCCAGACCGTCCTTCCCGCAGACACTGTCGACGAACCACCTCTGACTTCGCCCAGCAGCGTAGCAACATCGGCATCCAACTCGACCGCTTCGCTTGACGACATGATAGATCCGCGACTCACCACCCCGGAGCCACCAGTCCACCTCGAACACCGTGACGCCGTGCACCACAGCCTACCTCTCCCCATGACCAACGCCATCAACTCGGCTTCAAAGCTCCTCTCCGAAGCCCCAACACCCATATCCGTCGTCGCCGCCGCCCAATCACCCCCAGTTGCCTCCCTACGGTCCCCCAGCATAACTTCGGGTCCTACACAAACTGCGACACGTACATTCCTCGACCCTTCGCCCGCCGTACACCAACAGATCACACAATCGATTCCGGAAACCGCAGGCCCAGACCCCATCTACTCGACCGCACCAGCCACGAGCGCTGAACTCGAAATTGACGACCTCGCAGACGACGACACGAATTTCGATACCTACGTCGGCGGCTTACACGGGAGTGGTGTTGATGATGTGGATCAAGCGGGCAGTTACGGATATCCGAGTAGTCTGGGCGCCAGCTACATGGAGAGCTATATGCAGAACCGGCCATTGAGCGTGAGGATGCTGGCTGCGAATAAGGCGGGTTTGGGTGACGAGGAGAAGAGGAAGTTGCTCGAGGAAAGAGACGACAAAGAGGCCGAAGCTGATGAGGAAGAAGAAGAAGAAGATTACAGGAATAGCGCGAATGCGAGGCACAAGGCTGTTGACGCAGCCGAGGACAATTTCATGGGAGATATGGACGACTTCTGAGATTGGGCATGGGATGATGCCATTGTATTAGGAATTGGATACGACATCATGTCTGGACTGTTCTACGTGAACTATCTTGGATGGGAATCACGACTCGAACTGGGGCTCTTGGGTATGAACATGATCATGACCATGACCATGGGCTTTCAGGCTCATGACGCCACAACAACTACGACGACTACTCGATACTCACCAATCATTGAATGAACACACACACGTTCGTCGTATGATAAGCATTCTTAAGGCCTGAATGGACCCAAGAAAGTCATGGCAGAGCAAGAAGCACGATTCATGATATCCCAGCCGTATTCTGAAGTGTGTTGGGCCGTTTATACCTTTTCTCGATTCTTCAAACCTTGTATATACGGGCGACCTTTTCGATCCTCACGCATTTTTGTTTGTTAGATACTGGGCATTCCATGTACACTACATCATCTATAAACCCTTCAAACAGCGCTGTTTGATCTACTCTTACTCGAAGAGATGGTCACACACTTTAGTCCCGCTGGCTGACCTGCTGAACTCTATTCACTACCCTGTCTAATAGGCTGTCCATCTCATCGCTCACGAATCTGGGGTCGTCTTGTTGGATAAAGTGGCCACAGCGAACAGCTGTGATGGGACCGATGGCTTTGCCTTCGTCCGTGATGCGACAGAGACCCTCGTTGTAGCGACGCCAAGCGGGGTTGGCATAAGTCATGGTCAGAATCTTGGGTGTCTGCATTGTACCCTCGTCTATTTGCCGGGTTAGTCTCTGTAGTCCAAGCGTCGACTTGGAAAGAGACAAGTACGTACACGACTGCTCAGCAAACGTTTCCCAGTCATGTCCTACGACTGTGAGGTAAGGACCTCTGCCCAAGTAGCCCTCGAGTTTTGGTGCATCTGCGTAGGGTAATAGTTGTGGCAGATTACGTCTTGATAACCCCTCTTGACTAGGAACGTCGGGATGGAACATCCTTCTATACTTTTCTCTGGTAGCTCGTACTTCGTCTTGTGTGACACCTTCGGGTAGCGTGTGCGAGTTGAAGTCTGGTGCATCGGGGTCCGGCCACAGGTCTTGGTAGTCCGAGTTGGCCATGATGCTGTCCAGGAACAACAGACCCGATACGGTTCCAGGATAGCATTGCGCAAAAAGTCTTGCAAGTGCGCAGCCGATGCTGTTGCATACAAAGATGAGACAGGGGTAGTGCGTAGGTTTGTTGACGTCAAGGTGTTCCCTCCAGATTTGTAGGGTAAATTGCTTCAGTGCTTTAACTGCAGATATCGCGTCGTGTCCGTGGGACGGTGGTGGATGCTGGTCGTCGGGATCAGGATCAGAATCTCCTTGACCATATCTATCGTAGCTCAACAGAGCAGGATATGGTAAACGCCCCACTATTCTCTTTTCCAGAAAACTGCGCATGGCAGGATCCCATGAGCTTCTTGGCATCATGAGCCCATTGAGGAAAACGATGAGCGTTTGCGAGAAAGGGTTCGGATGGCCGCCGTGAGGTTTGGATGCAGGGTAGTACGTGTAGTGCATATGTGCACCGGGCTTATTGTCCAGTGCCAGTGAGGAAACCTCGGCATCCGGAAATGGTGGAAGGTCATCTTCGGATGAGTTCATGCTACCAGGGAATGGAATCGCGTAGCTGCGATTGTTCATGGAGTCGTGTTTTCGAGCTGTGTTGATGGGGTCTGCTTGTGCCGAATTGGTACCTGGTGAATTAGCCTGGTCCATGGTGGCAGGCTTTTCCCTTGTTGCCAGTCCTTCTCTTTCCCTCCTGGTTAAGCCCGAGTACTTGAGTTGCGGAGAGATGTACGGGAATGCATCCATGGCCTGGCGCAGTGGGGGCCTTTGTTGGATGCGCAGCGATTACCAGCCATGCAAATTGAGAAGGGGCGATGTGCAACTGAAGCGGAAGACGCCGGAATGGGGTCTATCGAGCAGACAGAGACGGCTAGAAGATTCAGGAACGAGTACGCAGCTTTTGTGTTCACGGAGGCTAATTCGAGAGTGCATTCAGCAACACATTACCCCTCTTCGCGTCCAAGGCGGGAGAGAAGAGCAGGATCTAGGTCTCGATCGGAGCCAGGGCCTATGCTGCCAATGAGCTCTCACGTGTAGGCGTGTTCCATGTCGCCAAGGGTAGCGATGTTCAAAAGGGTTACCAGGTCGACCAAAGTGGTGCGCGCGCGGTATCGGTCGAGATGATGATGTCGCGAGATGACGCGGGTCACGGGCACCCGCTCATGGCAGCCAAGAGGGGCTTTGATCATGACACGCCGATCCACCAGCCCGAGCGCGAAGGCGGGTGGCTTGGAGGATTTTGGCAGACTAAGAAATAAAGCGTGAAACCAGAAGCGAGCGCTGCAGGAGAAGGAAAAGGCACGGCGCTGCGATGGGTGGGGGCAACGTGTGCAGCCAGGAACCGGCGGCTATGACGTGGGCGGGTTCCCTTTCACCGTAGCCGCGTGCCGCGTTGCTGCATGTGCGCTGGCTGCGTCCCCTTGATATGAGCAACTTACCCGCGCCGTTCCTGCCAGCCGCTTTCCATCGCCCCCTAGTCTTATGCCCTTCACTCTGACGCATCCCGCCTTGGCTGGTCTCTTCACCACCCGACGCTGCCCACGAGCCCGCAGTCTGCAGCAGGTTGGTTTGCCGCTTCTACAAGGCGCAGAAGTCGACTGACCGCCTTGGAAAGTTGATGCACCTTCACCATGTAAGACATGGACTGTACGAACTGCATGCACAACATACACTGACTCCGTATCTTCACCTTTGCAGGCCATACGCCGACGCTCAAACCCAGACCGTCTGGGCTGGCCTTTGCAGGATGCATGTTCGCCCTGACGTCCTCTTCACGGCCCCCGACACTACCACTCCGCCCGCCGAGATGGTAACGGACAAGTTGCAGGGCCTCGACAATGTCATGACCGGCGCCCAGCTAGGCACCCTCGACCCCAATAGCGCCTCGTTACAGAGCCTGCTCCAGAGGCGACACAAACGCCCCGACATGCCCACGCGCATCTCTCTGCCCCGGTCTGATGTCGACGACCAAGTCCTCCCCTCTCCGCATCCGACCCACGCTCTCCTCTCCCCGTTGCCCGAAGCCAACAAGCGCTTTGCCGGTCACACTCCGCTGATTCCACGCGCCCTTTCGCCAGTACAAGACGAGCAGCCCGCTGTGCAAGAACCGCTTGCTTGGGAAGAGCAAGCGGACACACCGCCAGAAGACCAGCCCTTGATAGGTCCACTCATGCTACCTACCAATCCGGTCGATGGTGCAAGCGATCATATAGCACTCGAGGTGCTGGACGATGTACTCGAACAGGTTGCCAAGGACCAGGACAGGTTCAGCAAACTCAAGGATGCCCCCGAGCCTGCAGCTCCCCCCACAGCTGCCGAGAAGGCCCAAGAGGACTTGCCATTGAGTCACAAGGCATCAGCCGGATCGCGCAATCCATGCGCCACCAAACTTGTTGACGGCGTCAGGCTCAAAAGCCCCCCTTTGAACTTTGGAGTGCCCATTGGTCAAGTATAGTCTGCTTCCCAGTCGCAATCGCGAACCGCCACTTCTTCAGGGTCTCGATGGCCAAGCGCCTCGACATCTCGCAAGAACAGCATGGCTCAGACCCCGGGAGACCTGTCCCCAGAATTTGTGTTTTCCTAGTGCATTTGCATGGTGTTTGACAGTGGATTGGATCGGAGCATGGGTGGCGTTTGGGTAAAAGGAACACATCACAGCACTTGGGAGCGATACCCAACGACATATACTTATGCAAGGCACCAAGACATTCATCGCAGGCTATAGACTACCAGCCTAGAATCAAAAATAGAGGAACAGCTCCACAGTTTCTGAATAGCTGACCCTTATATGCTTGTGGTATACATTGCCAGCACCATCCATTACTTCTTTCCCACAAATCGGTCCTTATCACCCAACACTCCTCTCGCCATCTCTAACTGCTCATCTGTCTGCACGACTAATGTCTTGTACTTCGCATCGCGAGCACTGATATCTGTAACCACATCCTCGACCTGCCCCGCATTCTTCTCCTCATCGAGAGCGAAACCTAGGCACCTGACTCCCTTCACTACGGCCTGTCTCAACTTCCCTCCCTTCTCACCAATACCCCCGGCAAACACAAGCGCATCCACCTCGCCATCCAATTTGGCAAAGTACGGTGCGACATAATTCAAAATGCGATCAACAAAGATGTCAAACGCAAGCTTGTCCTCTTTTCTCTCTGAAGAACTGATCTTCCCGAAATCCGTGGTACCAGTCAGACTCTTCCATCCGCTCTTTTTGTTCAGAATCTCTTCGGCTTGCGTAATGTGCAATTTTTCGCTAGAACTGTGCGACGGTTTGCCAGCGCTATGCGTGTAGTGGAACATGAGAGATGGGTCGATGGAGCCCGAGCGTGTGGCCCCTGGTAAGCCAGCGAGGGGCGTCAGACCCATTGTCGTGTCGAGCGACTTTCCACCTTTGATGCAGCATGCCGAAGCGCCGGATCCGAGATGCAGGGCGATGATGTTGGTTTGTTCGAGCGGCTTGCTCAAGTGCGTTGCTACCGCGTTCGCGATGAAGGAGTAGCTTATGCCGTGAAACCCGTATTTGCGCAGCTTGTTCTTGTGCGCAACGGTTTGGTCGATTGGGTAGGTGCATATGTAGTCTGGGAGCGTATTGTGGAAGGATGAGTCAAAGTAGGCAATGTTCTTTGCGTGGGGTAGGATGTCTGCCACGGCTCGGACAATGGTGAGAGCGGGTGCATTATGAAGGGGTGCTAGGTCGGAGAGTTCTTCAATGTGGTGGTATGTTTCTTTGTCAATGACCTGGCTTCTGGGGTAGTCTCCGCCATGCACTACGCGATGGCATGTGAAATGGATGTCTTCTTTTCGGTTGAGTTCGGGAAGACCTTGGTCGTTGGTCAGGTGGTCCAATATGTAGCGGAATCCGTCTTCTTGTGAAGTGACATCCTCCAGCTCTTGACCATTAATCCTCTCATCTCCCCGCTCGTACTTTAGCTTTGAAGGCGGCGCAGTAAGTCCCTCGACGGTAGCTTCAGCGAGTTGTTTCGGTACCGAGGAGCCATCTTCTGGAGTCTTGTAGACGGAGATCTTGACGCTGGACGATCCTGCGTTGATTGAGAGAATAATCTCAGGCATTGTCGTGGTTGTGGATCGTGCAGATGATGGTCTCCAATATGGCAATGGTATTCTTGCTCTGTCAATGCTAACAGCGATCAGGAAGTTCAGTATTCTACCGGAACTCGAGCGCAGCAGCTAGGTAGTTCCAATGTGGAGTAACAATGACGTCGTTCGCAAAAAGGAAAAGGACAGTCTAAGTAGCAGCTTTCTTGAGCAAACCGGAAATCAGACACACTTTGGAGCCCCTAGAGCATTAGGCTATATATATGTATATCAAATCTCGATTTTGCGAGTTCCACCTTTCACGTGTAGCGTGAAGCTCGAACGACCGGAAGTCGCGGAGCCCCCCCAAACCAACAATTTCTTTTCACCGTAGAAACCTGCGCGTTTGCATCTTCGTCGTACGTGCGTTAGTCTTGTGTTAGTCACTACTAATAGGTCAAGCTATGATCACGACTTCTCGTGACTTTGTGTGTGCTCCGCGATGCCCGCATACCTGATGAGATGACGTCATCACATCCGTAACATATGGCTGCAAAGTACATTCTGTCGCTCATGGTCTCGTTATAGACGTATCTGCGTCATGTGACCTTTGATACCTGCTCGGGCGCAAAGTACTCGCCTACACTCCCAGAGGTTAGTTAGCGTTGAGTGAACACTGGTAGGTATAGATGATGGAAGCGACATCGAATGCTGCCCGGCCAGTCGTCACATGCAATACATCAAAATGACAATCGGCATGCGAATAACACTTTCGGTTGCGTTCAGGAATTCTGGCACAACCCCGCATCCTCTGTAAAGCTTCCTACTGCGGGGAAGCTGGAGATAATATACAAGTCGCATCCTAGACCAACTCTAGCCCTCAGCTTTCATTCCACTGCCAATTCAGCAGTATTCATAGAGATAAGCCAAATATCGAGATGACGAGACAACCCAAAACAGCATACATTACAGGTACCTACCCTACACTGTTAAACACCGCATGAATACCGATCTCCACCCACAGGCGGCGCAAGCGGCATAGGCCTTGCCTTAACAACGCACCTCCTATCCCAAAACTACCGCGTCTTCATAGCCGACCGCAACACGACCGGCGCGGCGCGACTCGCCTCCCAGCACAACAAGCCCAACAATACCGTGCTCGGGTACTGTACTTGCGACACCGCGAGTTGGGAATCCCAAATCTCCGCCTTTCAGATGGCACTGAAAGCTCTCGATGGGAGAATATCCTGCATCTTCCCCATCGCAGGCATCGGCGAAAAGAAATGGCTTCCCTTCCCTTCCGAGAGCAACGACGTAGCCGCCCATCTATTCACGAAGCCTGATCTCTCGGTCCTTGATGTCGATCTCAGTGGTGTCCTATATACTGTTGCGTTGGCCGTGCAACATTTCCGGCGTCAGAGTCCCGTTGTCTGGGAAAACAGTTTCGTAGAGCACTCCATGCGCGGTAAGATCGGTCTTGTGGCAAGTGTATGTGGGTTTTACTGCGTACCCAGCCTACCCATCTACACGGCAGCGAAACACGCGTTAGTTGGGTTGACGCGCTCGTATGGCGTATTACTTAAGGAAGAGGGTATCACGGTTAATGCCGTGGCTCCGAACGTTGTACGGACAGGGATTAGTGACGATGCGTTTTACGATGCGATGGAAGATGAAGGTTTGTTGACGCCGATGGATGGGTTGATGAAGGCTTTTGGTGACATCTTGGAAGGGGATAAAAGTGGCCTTGTCTATGAGTGTGGGACGAAAGGGGATTGGACGGTTCGAGAGGGTGCGATGTATCTGGACGAGGAAAGTGGGAGGTGTTGTGCTTTACTGCAAGAAAGAGCAAAGAAGCTCCATTATGGTCCGGGTTGATGGAGTTGGATTGTGGGGTTGGATAGTCTGGGTTAAATGTTATGCTCTTTCCGACCATTCAACTTCGTCATATTTTGTTTATACCACCCATCCTTTCTCACCGTCATAGCCAGACGGTATAGTGAGTATCACAGATGAGTCAGCAAGACAAACCACCGGAACAGAGCGATTCGAAAGTTCTGCGCAGATACGTCTCACCATAAACTTACTTAGTGGGAGAGCGCAGTTGGACAGGGTAGTAGAGTTAGCTTTTGTGACGTCCAGAGGTATCGTAATTCTAGAGATCAAAAATTGATACGTGCAGATAAGAACCACAAGCACATAATGCGTGGAAGAGTATCGAACAACACTCACACAAAGATTACATCACGTTATGCAATTTGTCTGTCAGTATACCTGTGTACTCCGAGAAAAAAGCCACATACCAGCGGGGTCAGCCCTTCCTCGAGGCTGTTTATAATATAAGGATCCCCGTTACCCAGAATATCATACAAACCGATCCATCCAGACAGCAACTCGGCGCCCGCCGTATCTGTAGGGCCTAGAAGTAGTCACGTGAGTCGAGGTGGAAGCGACGAGTAGAGCAGCACTAGCTGTAGTCACGGAGTCCCAAGACTGATTATTGTATGGTGGAATGTCATAGTAAGCAACTACGTGTTGTCTGCTTGTATACGGCTAAACGGACTTGTAGGAGAGCAAATAGGCAAGAGATCGGGGTACAATTGATCGAGCAAGCCACGTGGAAACCGACGCTCGAAATACAAAGTGCTAGCTTAGAGTCGTCAAGTACGCAACAAACAAACCACACGCAGGAGGCTCAGCTAAACCTATCGTCTTGTAGATACCCGACACCTCACTAAAGGCGGTCGCAAATACACTCGCACTGAGCATTGCAGTAAAGAACCCGCTTTCCTTGATCGCGACACTGTGGGCACTTGGTCAGTACATTCTTACGCTGCAACTACACAAGGTGGAAACGCTTACGGCTTGATCGCAAGCGTCTATGCCGAAGGAACAGGTGGCACTTCCTGGGCAAGTCTGCCTGTTTACGAGGTGCGAAAGTCGGGCGTGAGCATTCGCATCGTTGGTTGGAATGCTCGCAACGCTGACAACGAAGAGCGTTGTAAAGTTGATGAAGCGCATGGTGGAATGAAGGTGTGTTGGAGTGGTTTCGAAAGCGAGATGGGCTTGGGGCTTGGGGCTTGGTGATGCAGTTGTGTAAACGGGATTAGACTTGTTACTGTGTAAATTACTAAACGGTAGGATTACACGGCGTATCTTGGCTGTATACAGATGTTGGTTTATGTACGGTTTCCCCGGATCGACTTGGATTTGCAGTATATTACCCGCATTGACTTGCACTGACCGTGACTTCTGTGGAGAGATGTGAGAAGTAAATAGAGATTGATGATGCCCATGTCTAGCGTGCAGAGCGCGCTCGACATATGTTTGCAGGCCGTTTTAGTGAGTATGTCCAACAACGAAGTAGTCTTTGTTTGAATGAATTGGTGGAGTGTGATGTGGCTGAGGAGGCGATGCTAGCAGCGACGGCTTGTATGCACACCCGAAGCGTCGGGTTAGTTGGCTCGCGACCGCCCCGCCATCGACTCTCGCGCGACCAGCCCTCGGCCAGCTACAACGACGCCTACACGCGCACCACACACCTTGCACCATGCAGTCGCTGCCAGACGCGCGATCGCAAAGCTTCGAGGAGCTCTATGGGCCCCCCGAGAACTTCCTGGAGATCGAGGTAGGCTTGCCAGAAGCTCCGATGCCCCGATGCTGTTCCGCCGCCCTGCTCACAATTGTCGCGTGCACAGGTCCGAAACCCCATGACACACGGTGAGTAGACGGGACATGTCCAGCGCGCGAGTGGGGGCTGATGCGCTGCCTAGGTGTCGGCCGTGGCATGTACACGACGTACGAAATCGTCATGCGAACCAACATCCCCGCCTTCAAGCTCAAGTCGTCGACGGTACGCCGTCGCTACAGCGAATTCGAAGCCTTCCGCGACATCCTCGAGCGCGAGTCGGCGCGCGTCACAATACCACCGCTGCCGGGCAAAGTGCTCACCAATCGCTTCTCGGACGATGTGATTGAGCACCGACGCGAAGGGCTGCAACGCTTCCTCCAGATTGTCGTGGGCCATCCGTTGCTGCAGACTGGCAGCAAGGTGCTGGCTGCCTTTGTGCAGGGTCAGTAGCCATCTAACGCTGCGACGACAGTGACGACGACGATGACTAACTTGCAGCAGATCCCAACTGGGACAGACATGCGTGGTAGACACGCCTGACCCGACTACTACAGAGGGCGGTTACCGACACTTGATATCTGTGTTGTTTGTGACATCATACTTTCAACAATATCAGATTGCCGCATTTCCTGCGTTACGGAGCAACGGGCGTTTGTGTTAGGCTTTCACGTGGGGCTTTGTGTACCTTGTCATGAGTAGCAGCAGCGAGGAAATGTCTATAGTTCAATCATCATCCCATGTAATCCACGCAAACGTCCATGGCTGGGGACGAGCGCCGGCTACAACGATTGCTATCAACTTGACATCAGCGGCGACGGTCCTCCGCGCAGCGCTAGCGATGCAACGAGCAAGGCGCGGGGGTTAGTAACAAGCAAAAGTTTTTGGCAGCCGAACCGTCTTAACCCTGCATTTTCCCGACCTCGTGGCTCTGTGCATCCTCTACCCATCTTTCTAAACTTCACCCTATCGCACACAGTACTTGTAGTCATGGGCATCCCGTCGCAACCAGCGTCTAACGCCATCATCTACCTTACCCTGGGCGCTTTCCTGTAAGCTCACACCAGCGGCCCCGCGGGCGATCAGTGGGAACTAGGGCACTAACCGTGTGGGAACAGAGTGCTAGGATGTTACATCGCATGGCGATTGCGACACCAGTCCAAGACCGAATGGCTGTCTAGTAACCGCACACAAAAGGGTTAGGAAACCGTCGCATCGCACGCTTGCATCGAAGCTTTGGCGTTTCTGCCCTCTACCTGCTTTGCGCAGCTGCCCAGACATTGGTCCCATCACAAACAAGAGCAACTGGCTGACTTTGCGTCGTAGGCGTCCCGCTCGCTTTCAACTTCATCGCTAGTGGTGAGTGCATTCGTGCACCCAGCGTGCTTCTTGCCACGTGAACGAGCAGCGGCAGTATCGGCTCTTCCATCATTGCCACAACGTCCAGCATTCGACGTTGATGGCGAGATGCTCCAGTTCAAAGCAATTCGCGTCTCCATGCTTGGCCAAAGCTGGATTGAAATCCTCTAGGTTCGTATTGAGATCTCTCACAGGAGCCACTTCCCCTTGCTACCGCGGCCTTGTAGAACTCGTTGCAGTTCCCCATCGCATGTGGGTACATGGGAGGTGGTCTTTTGTGCGGCTACACTGCGGGCGCGGAACCAGAGCTGGGCTCGAAACACGCCTAGCCTTCTGTCTTGTGCGTGGTTTTGAGCCCGGTGAAGGGGAAGCTGAGAAGTACCGTAAGAACTCGATCAAGATAATACTTGCGTGAGGAACGTGCTGCCGCTACTTTCCCCCTTTGCACCCCCCTCCCATCTCTCATTCGTGCAAACGGCTGACCTAGGTTTCTTATTTAATCACAGCTCTCGGATCCGGTATCTTGTTCACGTACCCTCAGATCGCTACCATTGCTGGTGTGCAAGGTCTCTTGGTTTACGCGCTATCATCGTCCCTGCCCTTGTTGGTCTTTGGCGCGTTGGGTCCCATCATTAGACGGAAATGTCCTGAAGGCTTCGTCCTGACGGAATGGACGAGGCAGCGCTATGGAGCTATCGGAGGACTCTTTCTCACCGTCTGCACGCTCATCACCATGTTTTTGTATATGGTCGCTGAGCTCTCGGCCTTGCAGCAAATCGTCACTCTACTGACGGGACTGAGCGGTCTTCCGGTTGTCATTGTGGAGTGCGCTGTTACTACAATCTACACCTGTAAGACTTGTTGCAACTCAAAACACGAGGAGCATTAGCTAAAATCCTGATCCAGCACTCGGCGGCTTCAAAGTCTCTTTCGTAACCGACAACATCCAGGGCGTCATGGTCATCGGCCTTATCATCATGGGCGTCATTGCTGTCGGCGTAGAAACAGACATCGACCGATCCCTCATCGACCAATCCCGATACCTCGAATCCAGCCTCCTAGGCTGGCAACTTATCTACATCCTCCCTGTCGCCATTCTTTCAAACGACTTCTTCCTCTCAGGCTTCTGGATGCGTACTTTCGCCGCTCGCACGGACAAGGATCTCTGGATTGGTGTCTCACTCGCCAGCGTGGGCGTACTAATTATCCTCACTCTGCTAGGTGTGGGAGGTATGCTTGCAGCATGGTCTGGTGCGTATACCATTGGCGACGAAGAAAATGGTTCCTTGGCTTTTTTCTTGTTGCTAGAGAGGCTGCCCGCGTGGGTTGTCGGTGTTGTTCTTGTGATGACCATTTCGCTTTCCACTGCTGCATTTGACTCTTTTCAATCGGCGATGATCAGCACGGGAAGCAACGATTTCTTCCGCAACAAACTCAACATCTGGATTATCCGCGCGTGCGTTGTGGCGCTCATCTTCCCCGTCGTCGTCGTGGCTCTGCGCAGTCCCGATATCCTGCAGATTTTCCTGATCAGTGATCTTGTCAGTGCAGCGGTCGTACCTTGCCTCGTCATCGGGCTGAGCGACAAGTTTTACTTCTACCGGGGTTTCGACTTTGTTGTTGGCGGCCTTGGGGGTATCTTCACCATCTTCTTGTTTGGACTTGTCTACTACAATGGCGATGTCACTCTAGCTGGGAACTTGCTGTTGTTGGAAGGTGGATTGTACGCAAATGACTGGAGCGCTTTCGGTAAGTGCAAGCTATTCCATCGCCCATAACGATTGCTAACAACGGCCAGGCGCTTTCGTAGCAGCACCTTTCGGGGGTCTTCTTTGGGCTTTTGCTGCTTGCACTCTTCGCATCGGGTTCCTCTGGGTCAAGGCCAAGCTTCAGGGTCGTCGCTTCGACGCGTTTGACCGACCGCTTCCACGAAACATCGATAGACCTGGTGCTTTCGACGAGCATGATGGTGAGGCCGTGATTGAGCATAGCAGCATCGAGAATGGTAACAAGGGGAAGTTCTTCTAAAACCGCAGAGATGTGGAGGGTTGAAGTGAGTAAGGGAGTGTATGTGCGAAGTCATGGTCACCGAACAGATGTGAATGGTCTGTTTTTGCATTCTTGACAGGTACCATACATATGAAGAAATAAAGGAGGCGGCAAAGGGTGTCGATCATACTAGGGAAGAGTTCGATATTCGAGCTCGTGGTGGAAGGTACGGGAAAGCAGTATAATTAAGTACACAGTGGTGTGTTTTAGGAGTCTATAGAGATGAGTTGAGTCGATATTTTACTCTCACATGGAGTGGAGATTGCCTGCAAAGACAGCGTGCTTGCTACACACAAAAAGAAATTATAGCAGATACCTGTAAACGAGACGGAGGAGGAGCTAAGATGCAGCTTCCAGAAGAGACATGGGTGGCGTCGCGTGGAGCTGAGGTGGGGGCGGGGCAGCTTGGCAGGGTCCATGACGGAGCTTCGCGCTGTTGGAAATATCTGACGTTCCAGGCACCAGACGTCTACAAGAAACATTTGTTACCATCAGCCTGCACTTTGCACACTCTACCGAGTCCTCCCAACAGGCGTTCCCCTCACACCACCATCATGCAGATGCCGGACATGCCCGTCAACGTCCCAATCGACGACCCCAGCGCCGACACGGAATGGTGAGTCAAACCACCATCAGATCACGGCGAAAGACACAGCACTGAAACCAGCGCGTCAGGAACGATATCCTCAGGAAACATGGCGTCATCCCCGAGAAGCCACCATCGCCGACACCCATGATTCAGGAGGCGCTCGAGCAAGCCCGCGAACTCGCACACGAAAACCGTTTAGAAGGTAAAGACCTGGACGAGCTGGCCGAGCTAGAGGATGAAGAAGACGACGACTTTCTCGATTCGTACCGTCAAAAGCGCATGGCCGAGCTTGCATCGATAAATACCGCCTCGGTGTACAACCAAGTCTATCATATCCAGAAACCCGACTACTCTTCCGATGTTACCGAAGAGAGCAAAAAGGCATACGTGCTGGTCTTGTTGACGAGTTCGACGGGTACAAACACCGAGTCAAGAGTCATGATTGAGCATTGGAGGGAGTTGGCAAAGAGATTTGGCGATGTCAAGTTTTGCCAGATGAGGGCAGATCTTTGCATCGAGGGGTACCCGGATAAGAACACGCCGACAGTGCTGATCTACAAGGACGGAGATATCAAGAGGCAGATTGTTACGCTGATGCAATTGAAGGGACCTAGGACAAGTGTACAGGGTGGGTCGCACTCCTCAGCTCGGGACGGCAGTCCTGCATTACGGTGTGCTAACTTGCTATAATAGATCTGGAAAGGCTTCTCGTGGATGTTGGCGCCGTCAAACTAGGAGACTCGCGCCTCCAAAAGAAGAGGGACGACGAGGACGCCAACCCTAGCAGGATAAGACAGGGCACCACCGCAGGAGACGATGACGATAGTGACTGGGACTGAAGGCGTACTGGTTGGATATTGTGACGGCTTATTGCCTGGTAGGGCTGTTGACGCCCACAAACTCGACTTCAAAGCTGTCTCTCGGAGACTTGCTTTGTACGTACCGTGCGAGGAACGTCTGGCATTGAGACATGTGTTGGCTTTCCAGGCAGTAGTTGACGATGGCGGATGCTCACTTCGCATGGACATATCAGACACTGTGGCGCCTCGATCGGTGTTGAATGGATACATTCTGGTCGTGGACTGACCCCTTGCTAGTAGACTTGTGCTACGATGCTGGTTTGAGGTATGAGCGTTGAAGTCAAGGGATCATATTCCCCGGGCACGGGAGTGCTGGCGGTAGACAAGTCAAGATGAAGAAATTTGGATTTCTGAGATTCGACTTGCTACATGGCAGGCTGTGGCATGGGCAAAAAAAGTACATAGCTCAATAGACTTTTCGCCTTTGTGAAATAAAAAAGGGTTCTCTGATCGTTATCTGTCGAAATCTGGAGCGCCCGTCTTGTGGGAAAGCTCGTGCAGTTACCGGACGCCGAGCGCCCAACGCCCAAAACGCAAAGCCAGCGGGGTAGCCTAAAAGAATAGTAAAAGACACAAGGAGTATGGAGGCAGCAATCATATGAGCTCATCGCCGCCGCAACGCCGCGACTCATCGACTGCTCGCCAGATGGTGCTCTCTTCAAAGACGGGGCCGTGGCCGTCACACTTGGCCGAGCCTTTCAGCCGCTCACACACATCGGCCACGTCGACCAGACCCTGCTTGACGAGCGGATGTTGCTGTATGAGGTCCCAGGCCTGGGCAGCCGGGACCTCTTTCCCCCTGGCGCGGGTGCGTGAATGCTCTTTCGCGGCCGTGTTCACCACGGTGGCGTTGGTCAGGGATTCCACCCTGTAGCCCGCGCCTGTTTCTTCTTCTTCTTCTTCGTCGTCGTCGTCGTCGTCGAGAGGCAGATAGGCGCCTGGCGAGGGGTACGTGGCGGAGATGGGGCGCGAGCCCGAGGGGGAGTGACGGCTAGTGGCGCGCAAGATGTCGTTTTCGGTGCGGGCGCGGTCGAGGGCGGCCTTGAGGCGCTCGTTGTCGGACTGGAGCGAGTGGGCGCTGGACTCGAGGGCGGAGAGCTTCGTCTCGAGCTCCTTGACGTGGCGCTCTTTGCGCTCACGGAACGCGCGCTGGCTGGAGTGGCATGAGCACGGCTGGGGAGCTGGATGGGGAACACATACGCTGCCCTGTTCTGTGCCTTGCGCCTGCTCTGGGCAGGCGTCAGGCTGTCCTTCTCCTCGCTGCTGCTCCGCGTCTGGTGTGGCTGGCCATCGTCGAGGTCCGCGCCGAGCCCCGAGTCTACGCTGCCAACGGCCATGGGCGTGTGGGCTGCTGCCTTGTCTGCATACACGCCGGCGTCTGTCGCGGGTTCCTGGTGCACCTCGTCGGATTAGTAAGGCAGTTGCGGCTTGTTCCACCACGCCGTGCTACACTCACAATGCTGTGCGGCCCGCCAAAGTAAGAGTAGGCCATGGCTGCTCGATGTTGCTGGGTGCAGCGTCTACTAAGTACTGCCTCGACGCACCGACGGGCCAGCCGCCTGCAATCTCACACATGCAGCCCCTCGGCACTGTCAGCACCAGCCTCCGTCACTCGACACATCACCCATCGTCCTTGACGCCTTCACCTCAGACAGCCCGTACGCCCGAGTCTACACGGCGACATCGGGAGCAGCGAATGGTTTCCGAGTTGCCGAGTGGTTACGCCAAGCCAGCGAGAATTTGCATCTAATCTTATCAATCAGCCGTCTCGAGCCGCACTATGCTCCATCCAGCACCGAGAAGCTGTCCGTTTGCTTGGAATGCGTGCCGCAAAGGGAAATCACTTGAAATATGCAGCCTGTTTGCGAATTTACTCCAAGTCAGACCACCCACATTCTTTTCACCTGCCGCCCAGCGTTGGTAAATAATCGTTGTTCTACATTACTCCCTCGCAACACTTGTACCTACCAACCCACCAACCATCATGTCGCATCACCACAACTTGGACGTTGGCAAAACTGCGCCATTCAACACAACCGTAACCGGCGTCAGTTTACGCCCGAAAGAAGAAGACGTGTTCGCCGCAGACCGTAATGTCTCCCCGACAGCATTGCCAGGCGCAAAGTCTCCGGGTGTCGCACGCATCGAAGCTCTCAACGCGCACACGTCCTTCCTGAACCGCTGCTGCATCTTTTTCGGCATCTTCCTCATTGCCTATGCGTATGGTTTGGATGGGACGCTCCGATACACCTACCAACCATATGCTACTGCAGGATTCCAACAGCATTCCACCTTGGCTACCATCAGTATGTCTAGTGAAATCTGTAGTCATTCCGAGTCGCCAACGCTAACATCGACCAAGATGTGTTGAGGAGCGTCATCGCCGCTGCTGCGCAGGTAAGTTTTAGAGTCTGCTACCATGTATAAATCCATACTCACTGTCTGCTCAACAGCCTACTGCGGCTAAGATTGGTAAGTTGAGTCTTCACACCGAGGAAGATATGAGAAACTAACTCGACGGTTACAGCCGATGTCTTTGGCCGCATAGAAGTCGTCATACTCTCTATGCTCTTTTATATCATTGGTATGCACGCACCAAGCTGGGAGCTTAGCGTTGTGCTCTGGCAGTCGTACTAACATGACGAAAGGCACGGTCATTGAATCCGTCAGCTCAAATGTCGAGTCCTTCGCCGCAGGCGCAGTCTTTTACCAAGTGCGTGCTGGAACAACGCCAAATGGACAAGACCAATACTAATGGACATCCTACAGATTGGCTACACGACCATCATCGTGCTCATCGAAATCATCATAGCCGACATCACGTCCCTTCGATCTCGACTCTTTTTCTCATACATACCTGCCGTTCCATTTCTGGTAAGCAATATAGCCTCAAGGTCCGGTTTAGCTTGTTTCTGATGTTCGGTAGATCAATACTTGGGTCAGCGGCGATGTAAGTCAAGCTGTGCTTAGTCAGACCACTTGGCGATGGGGGGTAGGCATGTGGTGCATCATATACACAGTGTGTTGTATCCCTCTAGTCGCTTCGCTCATGTGGTCCAGCCGACAAGCTAAAAGGGCCGGCGCATTCGATGCATACCGAACACCATACGAAGTTCATGGTGGTACCAAGAATTTGCTAGTCACTCTCTTTTGGCAAATGGACGTCCCCGGCGTCGCGCTGCTTATTGCAGTATTCGGCTGTATTCTTACTGTAAGTCGGCGTGTGTTTGCAGCAGACGAGATTCCGATTTGCTGACCGATCACGAGCCTTTCACCATCGCAGGTGGCGCGCAATCGCAATGGGGGACTGCCAAAGTCATTGCTCCCCTCATCATCGGGTTCATGTGCCTCCCCGCCTTTGTCCTTTGGGAACGCAGAGCACCTCATCCAATGCTCCCGTTCCATCTACTGAAGGATCGTGCGGTTTGGGGTGCTTTAGGTATTGCTTGCACTTTGAACTTTGCATGGACCATGCAAGGCGACTTCCTGTACACTGTACTAGTCGTCGCATTTGATGAATCAGTAAAGAGCGCAACTCGCATCAGCTCTTTGTACAGCTTCTCCTCGGTAATCACCGGATTGATCCTTGGCGGTGTTGTATTCAAGGTCCGCCGCTTGAAGCCGTTCATCATCGCCGGAACTTGTCTTTTCGTGGTAGCTTTCGGCCTTCTAATTCACTACCGTGGCGGCTCCGGCGATTCGTTGCATTCCGGCATCATCGGAGCACAGATATGCTTGGGTATTGCAGGAGGCATGTTTCCATATCCTGCACAAGCCAGCATCCAAGCTGCTACAAAACACGAGCGTAAGTTTCTTCCATGGCAACTCAGTCGCTAGCTGGAGCAACAAAACTAACGACCCACAATAGACGTCGCAATCGTAACGGGCATCTATCTCGCTACCTACAACATTGGCAGCGCGCTTGGTAATACAGTATCAGGTGCTATGTGGCAGCAGATCATCCCAAATGAGTTGGCCCGTCGAATTGGGGATCCCTCACTCGCAGCCGTCGCGTATGGTGATCCGTTTGCATTTGCGACTCTATACCCAGTGCAAACCTCAGAGCGTATCGCTGTGATACAGGCATACAGACACGTGCAAAAGTTACTCTGCATCACAGGTATCTGTCTTGCAGTACTTCTTGTCGCTTTCTCGCTGGTCATCCGGAACCCGGAGTTGGGCAAGGATCAGAGCCTGAAACATGCTGAGGAGGATGCAGAAGTTAATCGCTCGGATAGTAGGCCTTAGTGTTGAAGCTTAGCATATGTTACACGCTAGAGTCACTACCCACTGATCTTTTTGCATATACGAGGGTCCAGGTGGTGGAGGAGCCGACAGACATTATCGCCGTCTACGAATACTACTGAGCTTTGGGGCTTCTGCTATAGAACAACAAAGAGTCAGATGATTTGGAATTTCCTTTAGCCCATCGGTGAATCTACATCATCTACTCGTATGACACAATGTTACTGCAAATGTACAGGTCTGAAGTTACTCGCGAAGAAACTTCAGCCTCGAGCGCGAAGTCCAGAAGACACAAAGCTACTTGTGAGATGATAGACGACCAAGAGCCTGATGCAGCCTAATCAAACTCGATCTCGAGTCCCTGACACATAACAGTACGCCTCTCGATGACATCCACGACAAACCGCCGCCCCCAGTTAACGACATGTGTATGGTGCCCGGCGGATACAAGACACCAAAAAATACTGCGGAAACGAGTTTGCGAAGCGCATCACGATCGATGTCGTTTTGGCCGTGGTCGGAGCGGCGCTGAACGCCCATGCCTTTGTGCACAAACTTGGAACGATCCGAGCGACAATAGTCCATCACGTGCATTCCGACACCGGGGTAACCTCAAGCAATCCAAGATAGCTTGGTAGCACAAGCTTCATTGCGACTCAGTTCCAACCCGCCGAAGATCGTGGGGCACCTGCGGCCTATTTGACCGTGCGTATCACGCAGGCTGCAGGTGTATGCTGTCCCGGCAAATGATTCCTCCCTACAGCGTCTGACATGTTGCAACGCCTCCACTCTCACCAGCCTGGCCGAGAAGAATGCGCAAAGCAGCCAGAAACTCTGATCGCGGAGTCTTGGAAACATCCGCTTGGGGATGGACGTGTACCTAGACATCGACTTCTTCGGGAACCTCTGATTTTGGCAGTGCGCTTCGCAGAATGTGGCTGCATCTTCGATTTGCGCGAAAACTCAGGAGTATTTGGATGAACAGCATGTCCTCACAATATGCATTCGCTTCTTCTACGGCAAGGATTTGTCATCGCTGCCTAAGTTATTGGATCATGCCACTCCGCTACCAGGTTGTTCGGGCGTTCGGTCTAAAAAGAAAACCCGAAGTCTTTCGTATCCCGGACAGCAGTTTCGCCGCCGCGTGTACGAGGGCCTTCCAGATACCGCCACGAACCTGGTTACGGAAGGTCGATAAGCATTGGTGTTGTATCCACGGTTGTGCTAAGTGCGACGGCAGCACATCGGGCCATCCCGGCGCCACGAAAAGCATGCATGACATCGCTCAGGGCCGAAAACGACATGCGCATGTCGAATCTTCAACCGAATGTATGCTCCCAGCAAGCGACAATCCTGCTAGGTCGAATCCTTACGGTTTACTTTCTACCTTCAGAATCCGTTATCTGTTGACCCGATACCGAAGCACAAGCAGTAAACAGATCGTCTAAAAGCGTCAGTGGTCTGGCTAAACCCAGCTGCTTTGAGTTGGCTGGAGGTATTGCATGACGCGTCTTGCGTGCAGGTACGTATGATCTGAACTATGCGTGAATTATGTAGCAAGATATGCTAGACGAGACAGCCAAAGCTCCCAAGATACATCGACATGCGCATCACCTGTAGCTTTGCTCTCGTATCTATCTTCCACCCCAAGTCCATGACTATGGCTTCCGGTCTGCCTCTCGGGCCTTGACTATGAGTGGCGGCTTCAGCCAGAAAGAGTATGTTTGTTGATCCATCCAGTCATTACAGCCTTCGTCGAGCTCGAAGTCAAAGTCCCACAATAAGTGGCCCAAGGCAAGCCTCAACTCGTAGTGTGCCAGGCTGTAGGCGAAATTAGGCCTGTGCATAAATGTGACCAGGGTAGTGGACTTACTTTCTTCCAAGGCAGGCGCGTGGACCGACTGAGAAAGGGTTGAAAGCGTTCTTGTCGTCTTTCTCAAACTCTATGGAGCCTTCAGGCAACCATCTCTCTGGAGCGAAATCGTCTGGTCGAACGAAGTTTCTCGAGGAGTGAAACGTCGGATAGTGGAGTATAAACACCGTGGCACCCTTCGGTACATACTTGCCGCAAATCTGCATACCGGCTGCTGGTACCAACCTTGCCAACGTCTCTGGAGCGCCGGGGTAGACTCGCATGGCTTCGTCTAGAACTGCGCTCATGTACGTTAACCTCGGCAGTGCCTCTATGGTCATCGCGTCTTTCGACCTGAAACTGTCATAGATCTCCTGCTTCAATCTCATCATACAGTGGGGATTCTTCAAAAGTAAATATAGCGTTCCCGAAAGCACTGTTGCTGTGGTTTCTGACCCTACCACCATAAAGAGAGCGGCATTGCCGACCATTTGATCCAAGGAGAGGCTCGCTTTCTTTCCGTCGGGTCCACCAGTGATCAGACCCCAGAGATCCGGGCGATCGGTCTTTCTTTCCAATCTTTCTTTCACACGATCTTCGGCAAACTTCATGTGCGCATCTCGCTTTGCCTTCATCGATTTCGGGACCAAGAGCGGCAGGATCTTTGACGCAAAGGGAACATGGTAGAATACCACGATGCGAATGGTGACTACTTTGATCGTTGCAACTATCACACGAACCCAGTTGTTGTATTCCGATCGCTCCAATAGACCAAGAGAGGTGCCGAAAGCTAGATCACCCATAACGTCGAAGGCCAGGAAGTTGAACATGTCTACCATGTTCATCTCGAGACCCTGATCAGCGCGCGACTGAACGGCTGCTGTCAATCTTTTGACGTGCTTGCGCAACAGGGGCTCCTGCTCCTTCAGTGCCCGGGTGGAGAATCCTTGATTGAACAGTTGGCGTTGTTCTCGATGCTTCTCGTCATCCAGCACGTCGATGATGCCTGGCTCTCCCGACATAGGTGGAGGGTTGGCAAGAGGGTTTTTTGGCAGCGGCTTGCGAGGCGTGTAGTTGCCTGTCCCATGAATGTCTTTCGAAGTCAGCGTCGAGAAACATGTATATGGAAGAGGTCATGTTTACCCTTCCATGCAGTGCTAGCGGTGTAACTCAATTCCCAGGGACTCAATCGCACAATTGGCCCATATTGCTCATGTAGGCGGTGCGCGTCAAACACCGTAGTACCCCTCCATCTAGAGAGAATGCGGGGTATAGGAGATGCTCGCCATAGAAACGGACCGGGGTAGTTTCGAAGTGGATGGATGAGGATGTTATACGACAGCCATCCGGCGATGGAGGTAATCTGACCACAATTAGAACCTCTACACCCTCATCGTACAAATTAAACAGCTTACTGCTACCGAAATGATGCGTAGAAAGAGTAGCTGAACTGTCATGATGAAATACACAATACTTGAGTCACACAGAGGTGCTCCGAGGGGATCTGTGGTGTGTACGGAAAGATCATGGGCATTTTCAGCCAGCTCCATTGCTTGTCAGATCATCGAAACCATGCACTGACCGCTAATCATGTGCGATAAGGAACATCATTCTCCTCGATTGACATCACGCGACACCTTCTTGCCCTCGGTACTTTTCTGGATACACACGGTCGTTACTCGGCGTCTCTTCGCAAGCACCGTATGCAACCCTATACTTGATCAAGACAAGTGGAGGTGACTTGTTCCACAGCGCGTTACAATCTAGAGTAGCTCCTAATCTCTACATCGTGGGGGGTGTAAGTAGGTCCGTTTCAAAGAATGCTAGGAGTGATGAGTGAGCGAGTCTTGTGTACAATGAATCGCATATCAGAGTACGTTGTATATAGCTATCATAGGAATCATAACTCACGGGACAGTCTACATACGAGCTGATTCAACATCGCGAATCGTTCGAGATTCCGTAGACAGTTCAAGTATTTTTCGGTATGCGCAGCCAGTCTGATAATTTCGCGCCTTCTGTGGCATTCTTTTGCCCTCAAAGCAAGGCCCCCACAGAGGCGTACCTCGAGCAGCTCCAAAAGTACATTGTTGAAACGCCCTTACTCCTCCCATTTGCAGAAGCCATCACGTCGTTGACGGATACATGGACCATACTTTGTGACGGCCACCCGGACATTGCCAAACTCAAATCGGGCAAGCGACACGTCGTCAGTCTGAAGCGATGGATCACCGACGGAATATCTGGACCTGTTTCAAGCTCCATGTCCGGTATTCTAGCGTTGCCGCTGTTGGTCGTTATCCAGGTTTGCCAGTACTTCCAGCTGCTGGAGTTGCATGGTCTCACGCACGAGCGAATGCTGGCAAACCTGAAGAAAGGTGGCGGCGCTCAAGGATATTGTGGAGGTCTCCCTACAGCCTTTGCTGTTTCTTGCGCCAAAGACGAGGAGGAGTTGGTCTATCTTGCAACCAAAGCTTTACGGCTGGCATTTGCCGTGGGCGCATTTGGCGAATTGGGTGACGACGAGTTGATGGAGGGAGCCACGACCATCGCAGTACGCCTGAGAACTCCTCCGCAAGGAGATGAGCTTGTGGCAGGTATTTCTAGAGTAAGTTGGAATTCTTTTCGTATTAGCTGCAAGGCCCCTCCGCTGTCGGTCTTTGGTCTTGTGTCACGGGAACATGGCTTCCATCCAAGCAAACCAGCAGCATTTAGCAGTTCCATTCCTGTGTTACAGCCTTATACTTACAACATGCAGTGCTACATTTCGGCGATCACGGATCCAAAAACGATAAGTATCGTAGGCCCTGTGCTAGAGCTCGAGAAGGTGGCAGAAAGAGCTCGTAACTGGGGTTTGCTAGTCACCGACATCCACATCCGTGGCAAAGTGCACAACCCGGAGAACGCGCCTTTGGTCAAAGTTCTGTATGAAATTTGTCAGGAGCATGACGAGATGACGTTGCCTGATGCTAGTCAGCTACGAGTTCCTGTGCGGTCGAATTTGGATGGCAGCTTGCTGCATGATTGCTCGCTGACATACGAAGCAATCAACACGATCCTCGCCTCTCGATGCGAGTGGTATCGGCTTCTGAAGGATGTCGCAAAGGACCTAGCGGGAAGTGGTACCGACGCCCATACATTTACTTTGTTCGGCATAGGAGACCCGGTTCCTCTGATGCCGTTCCACAACGCTCGTTTGCGAATATCGAAGGTGGAAGCCCATACCACTGTCCAGGAAGCCAGGTTGGCTGAGTACAAGTAGTAAGTAGCCCCAGCAGGATGACGCAACTAGTGCCGC